GTTTGACACATTACTTATGTGCCCAAAGATTCTCTTGTGAGGACTATTATAACTCTTCAGTACTCATTCTCATACCAAGCTTTATTTGGAACTTTCTAAGGAAAGATGTTTGCCTCAAACATAGCATTTACTTACCCACTTATATTCTTACATGAACTTTAGCTTGGGTGTTATTATGGCTTGATTATAAAATGGCACTCAGAGGCTCATGTTTTAAACATCTATGCCTGAGTTGGTAGCACTGTTTTTGGAGAATCTATAAATTTTCGGGGAACTGTGGCCTCCCTAAAAGAGTAAGTCCCCCTTTGTGTAGGTTCTTCAGTATATATTGTCTCTGGCCAGTTCCTGGATCACTCTCTTTGTTTCTTGAACTACTATGATGTGATCAGCTCTTCTCCAACACAGGCTCCTGACACATGTTCTTAATCATATGGGACCAAGCATTTATGAGCTTTCCCTTAGCCCATTTTTTTACTCAATCAAAACTATAGAAAAGTTATTAGATCCAATGTAGATATTCCAATACAAAATTATTTTAAATTACTCCCCAAATCAATACACCTAAATTTTTTTTCTAAAAGACTTCTCAAGGACTCTGCAAATACTTCATGTCATTCCTCTCCCCATAAAAATTTCAGTGAGATTCAGTCTATAAATGTCTTTATTTGACTTTTAGATCTGCGTGTGATCTGCTTCCTATGGACATTATTTTGTTGAAGTCTTACTCAACCAAATATAAACCTCTGTTCTCAAAATAAGCCCCCAATGTTTACGCTTCTCACCAATCTGCACATGACAAAATTGTAGCAAGACTTATTACCCTCCTCTATATTTCTTTGTAATCCAGTCTTTGGTTATCTAAGTTTAACTTTACCTTTTACCACTTGAAGTTCCTATAGTTAACTCCTTATAGTTCTTGCTTCACTTTTATTTGTAAATTTTTATCTGCTAACTGATTATAACTTTGGTAAGAGTTGAGATTATAATCTGTTAAATCTTCTATCTCTCTACCCTGCTATATAACAAGTAATATCCATTGCACATAGAAAGAGGGCTGGAAATACAGCTAGGTAGATAGAGTGCTTGCCTAAAATACATGAATCCCTGTGTGTGATCTCCAGTACCCACATAAACTGAATATGGTCATACATGTCTGGGTTAAAAGCATTTGGGGATCAGAAGTTCAGAGTTATTTTGGCATATATAGAAATTCAAGACTAGCTGTGGTTATACAAGACTTAGTTTTCAGAGAAAATAAAAAAACAAATTAAAAAAATCCAGTGTTCCAACCATCAAAGATAACTTCCCCAAGTTAACATGGCTAGTTCAATGAATTATGCATCACTGAATTTAGAAATCTACTTCAAATATTTCCATTATATCAACTATCTATTTTAGTTCATTCTAATTAGATAATAAAGTGTCTCACTTTAAACATGTTTGTACTTTTATTATAATAAGCCATTTGGTGATAATGCTATTTTTATCACCCTAGAATAGCATAAAAACTTATTAGAAGACAAAAATAGCATTCGTTCTGATTTTTAATTCCATTCTCCAAACAATTCTTAAATTAAGAACATAGAGTATGCTTTATAGGTTTTTTATGTCTACATGAGAATAACAGTTTTCCAACCTCTGACTTTCTTCCTTCCCTGCACTGTGATTCTGAAAAGCACTGTTATTAGAGTAAATAACTGAGGAACTTGGCCCATTACACTTCAACTGATTTAACTCTGAAGAAACATAGCTATTTTAACAGTTGAAAATGGATACATTTTTTGTGAATAGTGAATTCCCTACTGGAAACCAAAGTTTCTAGCTCTGATAAAGTGTGTGCTAAGATGTAGAAAATTATCTTGAGTGGTGTGGTAAAATTCCCACAAAAAGTCAACTGATTTCAATCCACTCTGATTTTAAAATTGCCAAGGCCATGTCTACTTCATAAAAAAGTAAATGAGGAAGAGAAGGAGCAGCACTGTTACAACTTTGTCAAAGCTGAAAATCATTACTGGAGACAGCACAGGACAAACAGACCTGGATTTTCTACCAATCTCACCTGTGTAATTATGAACATTGATTTCTCCAAACTTATGTGTAAAGAAAGTTGACAACAAGGTGATGTTTATCATTTCTGAGCCACCAGGATAGATGACTCAATAATATAGTGTATATTTTATAAGAAAAGTAGAACTATTCTGAAATATTAAAGGGATTAAATGATGTAGGCGGTAAATAGAACTTCAGTGCCTTATTTAATTTAGAGCCCCGAGGCTATACTTTGCAAATATATCATGCAGTCTACAGATACCCTTTATTTAATTTATAACAGCTTAAATTATTTAATCAGGACTGTCTTCTCATGCAATCACTTTTAGATAGGTGTAATATTTTGAAGAACACAAAAGTTGCTTTTGAATTGGGTGTGATAATGCACCCCTGTAATTCAAGGAGACTGTGACTAAAGGCAGGGAAATGATGAGGTCAGCCTGAGGTCCATCCTGAAATGCTGCCACAGAAAACAATCGCCAGGATACAGCTTAGCAGGAAAACCCTTTTTCTAGCATGCACCAAGTCTTCAGTTAATTCTCCAACAGCCAAAAATATAAATGTTACTTTTCACAAGAACTAATTTTAAAGAAGCAAATAAAAATATATTTAGATTCCTAATATAAGATCTAATCATAACTTACCTTCTAAGTAGATTTTTCAATTTATAAAACAAAGTATAATCAAGCAAGTTATAAATATGGTAATGTAGATTGATTAAATGTGTGATTTCTGGAGCCATGCGACTTTTATTGAAATTCTAGTACTTAATATTGCCTGTATGACTTTCACCTATTAAATTGAGCTTCTTTATATAACATTACTTGTGAGTATAATAGGGTCGTTCTGGTACCTTTCTTATGAGGTTGTTTTAAGTACTGACTCAGAAAATGCTATATAAGCTGCTTGAAATAGAAAACTTATAATATGTGTTATCATCATCATCAGTAACATCATCATCAAAGGAAAACAAAAATGACAAGCTTAGAGAATTTTAAATTATTTTGTCGATATGGAACCAATATGGAAAAATAAGTTTAAAAGTGTTAAAAATGATCTTTCTTTGTTTATAGAAATGTCAGAAATAGAGCAGAGAGTATGGAGCTAAATCACATTTACACACAACCTCATGTCATTTCCCACACGAGGAAACTGAAGTTCCTAGAAGAGACAAGAGTTACCCAACATCACACAATGTCCAGACCTATAACACGGTTCAAGCCCAAGTAGCCCAACTCCAAGCCCAGGCACCTTTCTTGTACCATGATAACAAAACACCTCATCTGTGCCTTAATTATCAGGAGTTAATTATCAGGCTGTGGTGCAAAAGGTATGTGAATCAAAATATCACTGCCCATTGAATTTAATGATTTCAATATGAAGGATCTACATATATGCGCACATACATATACGTGTGTGTGTGTGTGTGATTTATACAAAATCAAACACTTAGACGGCTAAAAAGGAAATCTTATTCCTGTGGTGACCTTTAAATTATGACATGCTCTTCATTGATTCATTCACAAACAATTTCTCACTTCGTATGGAACAGGAAATGACTGTTTGCAGGATCAATAAAGGTGTAATTATAATCTAACAACATTTTATGCATGTGACTGTCATGATGAAACCATTTACTTTGTATAATTAATATGCTATTAAAATATATCACTAATCATTTTTTTAAAAAAGAACAGAAGTATTATGTTTATATAGAATAACTCCCCTTTTTTCCCCATGATCTTTTTACCAGATCCATTAGCACATGGTTGTATTTGGGATCATTTTTTTGAAGTGAAGAATATGTACCTTTTTGCTTTACAGTCTGTAACCTTCTGCATTTACCTGAACAATTTTTAGCTTCTAGCAGGAAATGCAGGAACCTATTCAGAGGTGCCTGAAAAATACTGAATCTGTGTTATTGAAGTTGACACAAAAGAAGGGCAAGATGAAAATGTAACAAGTTGAAGACAAAATGATAAAAAAAGTGCCAAAGTGTCTAGAATATTCTCCAGTTTGAGCAAATGTTTTAAAAACACACGTTATACTTCTACTGTAGCTTGGCTTCTGATAAACCTGTCAGTGTTTACCTTGTATACCTATGATGATTTTAATTATCCCTTTCTTAGAAAAGCATTTTCTGTTTGTGGGAAAATATCCTGGAGGCATGTCAATCCATTGCAAATTATAGGGAGGTGTGAGGAGCTTGAGTAATGCTATCAACTGTGCAATCTGGAGATGGGGATGGAGCTTAGTGGTAAGCACTTGGGTAACATGTGAGGTCTCGGGTTGGATCCCCAGTACCTGTACACACTAATGAGGCAATGCATATAAACTAACTTGGGGAGAAAGATAAACAATGATAGCATAGTCAAAAGGGTAATCATTTTTGTCTAATCACTATGAATACCACACCGCTACACTTCTGTGAATGATTTTGAGCAACAGTGCTGAGTTCAGAATTAAAGCTGGGACCAGAACAGATTAAGACGGATGGAGCCAACTTGAAATAATCTAAAAGTAACACTCAAGTTTTCAAAGGTAGTTTCCTCTATTCGCTTGATATTTTTTATTTGTTTTGCCTAACAAGTTTTTGATCTTATTCACATAAGACATATAATGCCATTGTGGTATATATTTGTACGGTTGTCAAAGAAGAAGAAAATAAAAGCTAATGATACAAGACTGGGATGCTATTAAAGTACTCTAGAATTTATTTTATTGTTAGGTTACTTTAAAAAGTTGGCCAAGTAATTCAGCAAATGTGCCCTTTAGAAAGATAGACATCATCAAAGAAAGCTATATGCAGTGCTCTTATTTGTGACTAATAAGATTATTATAAAAATATAAAGGACACATCATCCTTTAAATTGTATGAGCTAATAATCCCAGTGACTGGAGACTTTCAGTTGCTCTGAAACAATTTCTGAATGTCTTGTTTCTCTCTACAGGAGCTCCATTCTCCAACTCTGAAAATCTCTACTTGTGCACCAAGCACTCTACATATAACACAAAATGCCGACCAGGTAAACAAAGTTGTATGCTACATTAGATTTGTTTTTCTCCTTTTTGTGTAAGTCTTGTTCATATGTGTGAACAATCTTTAGATCTTTATAGAACTACACATTCGCAAATGGAAGAGGATATTCTCATATATGAAAATAAGTCCTGCTCAGGAAAAGAATGTGCAGCAAGTGCCATGAATTACATTTTTACTTCCATTACTCTCTTATTCAAACTTTCAGTTTAAGCGTAGTTTAATTTTAGCTGAAAATCTTCTGGTGAGTGTGGATATTTTAAGGGTTCTTGGTTTTAGTACAAATAAAACATCTGCATTTTGGGTTGACTGAGAAACTGCCTTTGCAGGTGGTTATACTTAAAAATTTATATTTGGAGGTATATTTAGAGGTATTTTGTCCTTACAGGACAAAAGATTATGCTCATTATGAGTGTATGATTTCACTGACACACAACCTGTTATTTCCTTTCACCTTTATGGCCTAATAATCCTATTTATTGGATTAGGTTTTAATGTAAGCATTGTATATCTAAATGAGATCTGTAATAAAATAGATTTAGCTAACTGATACATGCAAAAAGTAAAGTCTAAGAAATAAAGCATATTAAAGTTGTAGTCACATGGGAGAGGAGCACACAATTTAGTGTGTAAACAAGAGAGAAGATGCTAATTTAAGTTTCTGGACAACACATAGTATTATGTTGTTAAGCTCTGATTCCTAGTTTGGTTGAATAGTTTGAGGTTTATTAACCACTTTCTTTTCCCTCACATGTTTATTGAGAATTTTGCATATAATGTGTTTTGATCAAATCTGTTTCCTATTCCTTCTCCACTGATTCCTATCCTTCCCTCACAAATACCTTTTTCCCCAGCCTTCATGTGCTTTTATCAATTTTTTAGAGTTCTCTTGGTGCTTACCGCATAGCCTCTGTTGGAGCCTCTGTTAGGGAATGGGAGCTTTTCAGGGACACATCCCTGATAAAATCTTACTCCCCTTCCCCTAGCAGCTATCAGTTCCCAGACGCTCCTTAGGTAGGGGTGGGAGTTCACGATCTCCCTCAACCGTGTTGGTATTTTGACTGGTTTGATCTTGGACAGGTCTTATACATGTAGCCACAGTCACTGTGAGTTAATGTGTGCAATGATTTCAGATCCAGCAAATAAGGTTTTGCTAGGGATGTTCATGATTTCTGGCTCTTACAATCTTCCCAATTTCCCATACTTTCTGCATTATTTTATTCAATTGTATATGTATTTGATTACTTCACTATTAATTTACAGATCTTTTTCTCATTGATGTAAAACAAGCCTCTTATATTAATAATACTGAGCTTTTCTAAAACATTTCCAGTTTTCTTTATTCTAGTGTTTTTTTTTTCTTTTTCTGTCTGTCTTTCTTTCTTCCCTTTTAATTGAACTTCTGAGACAAGTCTAGGTATGTACACCAGGCTAATCTGCAAAGCCAGATACCCTTGTTTCAGCCTCCTAAGTACTTTAATTACAGGCTTGCAGCAATATATACAGGGTTTCTGTCTCTTTTGTCTCTTTTAATATAATCTGTGACTCTCTACTTCCAACACGATGAATATTTTAAGGGGTATGCTACAATGCCCAGATAAAACCAAAATTTTAATTGACTAACATTAAGCAGTATTTTGTTCTAATTCTTCAGGGATGCATATAGCAAAACAAAATACTTTATAAAAAAAAATCTCACCATGTGTATTTTAAAATTTATAGAGAGGCACCTAGTCCCCAAGCTGCTGCTATTGCTTCTGGAGTTGCTATTGGTCATACTTGCATAGCACATTTCTTTGTGGTCTCCAGTGTGCTTTGTGTGGCCACGTGAGCTAGCTTGAACTAGAGAATAACCTTAATTTGGGAAGTGACTCCACATCTGAATTGGCTTTCACTCTCCACAAAGAAATACCAGAGAACTATCTGACCATCGAGCAACCCTTCTCCAGAAAGCAAATCAGACAACAGACCAGGAACTCTCAATTACAAAATGTTAGATCCAGATCTTTTCTCCCTGATCTATGAAACTTTTTTAGATTTTCTCAAAGCTGATATCAGTGGGTAGAATACAAATACCCAAGTCATTGTAAAGGTTGTTCAAAGTCCTTACTCTAAAGCATTTAAATATCCATAAATGACGCATAAATTAGTCACTCTTATTCCCTAACTTGCTGTGGGAGTCTCTGCAAACACTACAGCCAGCAGAATCTCTCAGTGAGTGGAAGAGAAAGTCTGATTAAGCGTTACTCAGTAGGCAGTGCTAGTTCAAACTTCCAAAGTTTGACACTGGGCAGTTTATTTTTAGGCATATGTAAGTATAACTCAACTTGGAAAAATATTTTCTCATGATAATTAACCCAATCCCATGCATACAATAAAGTTTAAGACATGATTGCATTGAAACTCTTGTAAAAATACAGGTGAAAGATATGTTTATATATATTAACTAAGGAAGCAGATTCAAGGTAAACAATGCTCATGATAAGGACTCTGGGAGGAAGGCACTGTAGATTGACTGAGATAAACATCAATCTGGGGGAACTGGTGTTGTCTGGCCATACAGATAGTACAGACGTCATTCGGTGACTAAGCACATCTATTCTCAGCATTCTGGGCAAAACCAAAACAAAACGAAATGAAAACAAGTTATATATCTCCTTTTGAAATGACAACTAGGTATGCTTAAACATTTCTGGTCCCCCTAGTGCTTGTCTGTAAGGACAAGGACCTACATGCTTCTTACAGCTTGCAACCCTGATTGCAGAAGTCTTTGCCCTTGGTGAGGGAAAAGAGTGGGGACTAGGACTGTAAGTAGGAATAATAATTATTTACATACCATATATTAGTTACTTTCCTGTTGCTATGATAAAACACTATGACCAAAAGTGATTAGGGAAGTGTCTGAATTAAGGTCACTATTACTGTGAAAAAGCATCATGATTAAAATTAATTGGGAAGAAAATGGTTTGTTTTTGCTTCCAAATTGCTGTTCATCATTGAAGGAAGTCAGGACAGGAACTCAAACAGGGTAGGAACCTGGTAGTGGGATCTAATACAGAAGCCACGAGGAGTGCTGCTTACTGACTTGCTCAGCTTGCTTTCTTCAAGAACCCAGGATCACAGGCCTAAGGGTGGCCCCAACCACAATGGGCTGCACCCCTCATCAATCACTGATTAGAAAATGTCCTACAGGCTTGCTTACAGCCTGATCTTATGAAGACAATTTCTCAACTGAGGCTCCCTTTTCTAATGACTCTAATTTGTACCAAGTTGACATAAAACTAGCCAGCAAAACTGACCCCTTCCAAATAACTCAAAAAGCAAATAAGTCACAGTTAAGGCACAATCTCTTCCTTTCTTGTCGATCCCCAAGATTAGACATTAATATTGATACTACAATATAAAACATTTTATTAACTTAAAAAGTTCCAAGGTCTTTAAAATTTTAAACACTTACAATTTCAGTCTCTTTAAAATATCCATTGTCTTTTGAACTCCAATATCTCCCAACTGTGGACTCATATAAAATAAAAATACATTAAATACGTTCTTACTTAAAAAGGGAAGAAACAAGGCGTAGTAACAATCTGAAAAAAAACCACAAAAACAAACTCCAACTGTAAATAACGCAGTATCCAATGTCTGGACTCCTCCAAAGGGCTCGGGCCACTTCTCTGGCTCCACCCAGCTTGTCTTCTGGGATCCATCTGGCTACATTTCACTGCTGGGGCTGTTCTTAGTGGTCATCCCATGGTATTGGCATCTCCAAAATGCTGGGGTCTTTTGCTGCACCTAGGCTTCACTTCACCAGTACCCTCTCATAGGCTCTCTTCATGGTGCCAAGCCTCAAACTCTTTGCATGGCCCTTCAGTCCTGGGCTTTCAACTGCCATTGAGGCTGCACCTTCACCAATGGCCTCTCACAATGCCAAAACTCAGGTGCTCTCGGTGACCTCTTCATACTTTCAAAACTAGTACCACCCGCATGACTCTTAGACATTACCAAGCTCAGCTGCCAACCTAGGCCACCTCTAGAACACAGTTTCTGTGCCCTCTCAGGAACCACTTCCTAGAAGACTTCATCTTAGTGATGCTGATCTCTTCTTAATCCCCACAGATTCTTCATCCCAGATGACCAGTAACAATTGTCACAGCAAGGAAAAGGTTTTACTTTAGTAGCTCTGATCTCTTGTTAGTCACAGCCAATTATTCAGCTCCAGCTGATAAGGCACCACAGATCCTTCACACAAATGACCTGATAGAAGCTTTACTTCCCTATGGCACGTCACAAACCGGGGCTTCACCATCTGTACTGCTATCAACATTCGTGTCTTCCAGAAGAGCTCACTGAGCTCTCAACGTTCAATGACTTCTCCAGCCCAAAGTTCCATAGTCTCTCCACAATCCTCCCAAAACAGCATGATCCTGCCTGTCACAGCAGTACCCCACTATCCTGATACCAACTTCTGTCTTAGAGTTGTGATTTTTGGGATGAAACACCACAACCCAAAACAACTTGGGGAGGGCTGGATTTATTTAGCTTATGCTTCCACATCACTGTTCATCACTGGAGGTGGTTAGGACAGGAACTCAGAAAGGGTAGGAATGCGGAGTCAGGAATTAATTCAGAAACCATGGAAGAGTATTGCTTACTGGCTTGTTCTCCATGGCTTGCTTAGCCTGCTTTCTTATAGAACCCAGGACCACTTGCTCAGGGGTCCACCTACAATAAACTGGACTTTTCCATATCAATAACTAATTAACAAAGTCATCTATAGGCCTTCCTGCAGTCTGATTTTATGGAAGCCTTTTCTTAATTAAGACTTCCATCTCTCTAATGACTCTAGCCTGTGTCAAGTTGACTAACACTAGGAAGCACAGGAAGAAAGACTTTATTGGGCTCAAAGTTCCAGAAGTTGAGTCCATAATGGTAGGTGAACCATACCAAGAGGTGGCAGGAGCAGAAAGCTGAGAGATCACATCTTAACCATAAACATGTAACAGAAAATATACTGGAAGTAGTGTGTGTCTATAAACCCACAAAGCCCATCCCCAAGAAGTACTTCCTCCAGAAAGATTCCTCCACCTAAAGATTCCATATTCTACTCAAACAGTACCACCAACTGGCACCAAATGTTCAGCTACCTGACTCCATAGGGGAAACTTATCATTCAAACCACCATTCCCCCAAGATGGGATCCAGAATCAGAACAACACACTTTTGAAAGAAAAGAACAGCCAAAATATGATCCCAGAGACAGTAAGTGTGGCTGCAACTTTCTGGTCTGTCTGTAATGTCACCTACTGTGATGGCAATCCAAAACACACGAAGTCTGGTGGCAATGCAGTCATTGAAATGAAATATGGAACAATAGTGTTCCAAACGATCCATAAATAGAAACTAATTTCAAAGGAGCTGGAGCCCAAGTGTGTTAGATTTAGGAAGCTTCTAACCTTTTGGAAAGGGACACAGATGTGAGTCATGCATGTGCTTGAAAAAAGTTAAGTTCTTAGCAAACTAAGCACACAAGGTGGTCAATGTGCTCCCAGCTGCTCCAGCTCCTTTCCGTGCAGGTAGCCTGTAGCACGAATCTACTAGTGTCTTTGACAATATAAAGCCTGAAAACTTTCTCTGAAGTATGCTATGGCAGGGCTGGGGCAAAAAAAAAGACAATGGAGATATTCAGCTCCATGGTCCAAGATTGGATCTGCTTTATGCTGTTCATAGAGAACATCAGAGTGGCTGCCTAGTGCTGCTTCTGTGGTGACAAATCACGCCGGCAGCAAGAAGTAGGTGGAAGTTCCATCTTCTCAGCATTGAGTTCTCCATTGAACCCTCCTACACAGTTCTGATGTGAATTATCTGCAATGTTAACTGAAGCATGTACAAGCAGGCCCAGCTTCTCACAATAGACAGAAACATATAGAATTATTTAGGTAATGAGTAAAACAAACAGTTCCAAGAGGCCAGCAAGTAATAAAGAGACTAAGAAGAGAAGGGGAGGTGCCCTTTCTGATTTTTGGATGCAAACACACTGTACTATTCTACTGATTGGCTCTGCTTATTTTTATGCAAATTTGCTTATACTGCATGAGTATTTTTTATTGAGTACATTAAGGATATGTACCAGGTTATAGGGTGTGTCATATTGTACTATCCTTGTGATGTATGGTGATTGTCCATAGCCTTGAAAATATTACTAGTAGCCAGATGGGTAGGCAGATTGGCCCAACAGAAAAACAAATAATAAAAATCAGAGAACCTGGAAGCCATACTGCATTTGATTCACACCCAGAGCCCATGTCTTCCAGAAAACAAGAAACTGACATCATGTAAATTATGAGTAATTTTTCTATACAACTTATTTAATATGAATTGAATTTAAGCTTAACTTTTTATCTAAACATGTCATTGCAACACAATTCTCTCTGAGAAAGTTTAGAAAGAAAGCAGATTAGTAAAATGTAGAGAAAAAGGGAATTTTACAATGAATTTCTTAAAAATAAATACCCCAACGGAGACACCTACTTTAAACCAGTTGTTATTTAGATTCAAGTCACTTTGCTAATTTTAAATTTTCCAAATTCTCTTGCCTCAGACTAGGTAGGAGGTAGGGAGATGAGTGAGAATTTTTAGGGCAATTTTGAGGCCTTATTTTAACTAGACTTTAAAATAAAACAGAAAACATAATGCTATGATTTTATTCAATGATTATGAACAGTAGTATTTCTTTTTATCATTATTTTTATTGAGCTCTACATTTTTCTCTGCTCCCTTTCCTCCCTCTCCCCTCCTCTTCTACACTCTCCCAAGGCCTCCTCCATGCTCCCAATTTACTGAGGAGATCTTGCCTTTTGCTACTTCCAATGTAGATTAGATCTATGTATGTCTCTCTTAGGATCCTCACTGTTGTCTATGTTCTCTGGGATTGTGATTTGTGGGCTGGTTTTCTTTGCGTTACGTTTAACAACCACTTATGAGTGAGTACATGTGATAATTGTTTTTCTGGGTCTGGGTTACCTCACTCAAAATAATGTTTTCAAGCTCTATCCATTCGCCTGAAAAATTCAAGATATCATTACTTTTCTCTGCTGTGTAGTACTCTATTGTGTAAATGTACCAGATTTTCCTTAGCCATTCTTCAGTCAAGAGGCATTCAGGTTGTTTCCAGTTTCTGGCTATGACAAATAATGCTGCTATGAACATAGTTGAGCACATGTCCTTGTAGCACTATTGAGCATCCTTTGGATATATACCCAAAAGTGGTATTGCTGGGTCTTGAGGAAGGTTGTTTCCTAATTTTTTGAGAAATTGCCAATTCTGTTTGAGTCTTAGATGGTTCAGAAGACTGTTGAAAACTTGGACATAAAAGCAAGGAGCAGAATTATTCCAAAAAGGGAAGAGAAGCACAATAAATGGGAAAATAGTGTACCTTATTTAATATATTTTATCATCATTTATGCAATTTCACTCTATTCCAATATACCTCCAGTATTTAAACATAAAAATGAATTAGGAACTGGAGTCTTGAAAATATTCATTTTCAATATTTTATGAAAGAATAATACCTCTATTATTTTTTGTAAAGTATTTATTGTTATTAGGTATTGAGTCTTAAGAGGTAGGGTAGAATGTAAGGATAAATAACTGTTAGTTTTTATAGAACTTTTTACCTTGCCAAACTCTAGTAGAGAAGAATATGTAATAAAACCATAATAAAAAGTGAAAAAGTATGGTAAAAATAGAAATTAATATAATCAAGTACTTACAACAGCACTGAGCAAATGCTGCTTTGCAAAAAGTATTTCCAACACTAAAGTTAAATAAATCATAAAGTCACATAACATTGTTAATGAAAATGACTATATAATGTTCACTATGAAAATTGTCCCTTATTATTGATGGCTCCAGGTTACCAAATAATGATAATTGAATGTAGTGATGTGGATTTCATTTTTCTTTACAGGAACTCCATTCTCCAACAGTGAAAGTTACTACGTATCCCCAAACTACCATTAGGAGATACATAGTACAAAACCCTGAACAGGTAAGGTGTCATGTGATCTTTTTTTCCAGTGGGTGAGTCAGTTACCAGATCCTTAAATGCAGATCGCTGGCCTATCTTCCAGTTAGAAAGTGCACTTCTAATCATTAATATAAAACTCCATTTTTAACTTCAGGGAGCCATGCACCGATCCGTTCTGATATAGCAATGCAAAAGTTCCAAGCAGGTTGGCTGTTATAACACTTCCTTTCTATATCCCCACCCTGGCAGTGCAAGGGAATTTTGTGCACTTTGAACCAGAGAGAAAAGGAACAAAGGTCTTCACAGGCTTCCCATAAAATCTACCAACCATAACACCAGAAGCTGGAAGGTTTAGTGTATTTGCATTTGCCTTTCACCTGTGGACTAGGAAGAAGAAGATTAAAAGTCAAAAACTCAAAAAATGTTTTCATGTGCTTGTAGCCTCTGGTGTATGAATTATGTACTTAGTAATGAGCTATTAAGAAATTTGCATTATTATATTTTTAACTAAGATACATAATCATATGTTTTACAAAGTACATAGTTTCCTCTGTCTAATTTGAGAAGAAAATTAAGACAGCATTTTTCAATGATAATAAACCTTCCTTGAGCACACACACACACATATACATGCACCCATGCATCTTCTAGTGGCAAGAGAACACTCTGGTCTCTTAAGGCTTCAATCTCCCTCTAAGAAAGACTGGGGTATGAATAGAGACAAGACATTCTTCCCTTTCCTCTTCATTTCTCCATTAGAATGAGAAGCAATCTCCTAATCTAGATGGTGTCGAGGATGTACTTCTGCTGCTATCTATTCCACCTCTTTTTTTTTTAATTTACTCATTAGAATCATGTTCTTGTGTCTCCTTAATTAAGGAAGCTGCTAGTTGTGCATGTGTGTTTGTGTGAATTTGCGTACACACAGGATCTGAATAAGGTGATGATTGCTTTGGATATTTGCTTGAGTTTTCGTAAATTTGTGTAAACATAGAAGGACATGATTATAGTTAAAGCAGTTGCCTCCTCTTTCCTTTGCATAATCAAATATTTAAGCAACAAGCCCGGAAACAGGGGCAAGGTGGCTGGACTAGGGGCAGTAAGGAGACCCTTAATGGGAAGAGTATGTTTCCCTAACCTTTGTCCCTCTGCTGCTCACTTCCCATTCCAGCGATTGGAGTAGAATGCATACTAGGTGACTATACCCTAATATATTTCCTTCTTACAAAGACAGAATTTCTAGTATGTTCTGTACTTACACACATCTAATCTGCTTTTTTAGCCACATGTTTTGTGTTCTTATACTTATTTAGGTATTTATTCTTGTATCTGGTAATATGATGTGTATGTATGTTTATGTTTACCTATGTATATAAGTACATGTGGAGATCAGAAGTTAACATCATGTGTCCTCTTCAGTCACGGTGTACCTTTCTTTTCTTACTGAACCTGGAACTCATAGGTAAGGCTAGCCTGCCTGGTCAGTAAGTTCCAGGTATCTACTTGTTTTTCCTTCCCCAAGGATAAGTTGTTAGATATGATACCACGAACAGACTTTTCTGAATGCCAGGTATTCAAACTCTGGTTTTCGTGCTTACACAACAAGCACTTTATCAACCAAGTCATCTCCGTGGCCTGAAGTGCACACTCTTTAAAATGTATTTTTCTTATTCCTGAGGAATAAGTTCTTAAGTGCTACAAGAACACTGAGTTACAAAGTGATGAAGTTGGAAATGGATTTGAATAATGCATAAGAAAAATAACAGTGAAGAACAACACATAATAGACCTTAAAGATTATCCAATAAATTATGTAATTACATATTTACTTTTACACCATGTTGTTTAAAAAGCAGCAAAATTTGACATGTGTGTATAAGTAAGGGTATATTAAGAACACTGGGCTTGCTCCTCTAAGAACTCATTATCTCAGGCCATGCTGAACTGCAAACACTTCCTCAGGAAAATCTAACAGAACAGTGGAGAAAATTGGTCCTTTTAAAGATTTTGAACTCTGCCTTTTATTGAGCAATAAAACAAATTTCAAGCCACTTGCTTTGTAAACTAAAATAACCCAAAATGGTTTTGCAAAATAGTTTTAACACTCTGTTCGTGTGTGTGTGTGTGTGTGTGTGTGTGTGTGTGTGTGTGTGTGTGTGTGTATCCCTATTTTCTTTTTTAGGTATATTTCTTTTGTATTTTTCACTTTTAAATCTCTCCAGGAGAAGATTTAGTTTAATTGCAATGTTTATAAATGGTAACTTCATCCTCTTTCACCTCCTAGTTTTTCCAAATTTTATTCCTTGTCCTTGGAATTAAAATAATCCCAAACGACTTGTCTAGTTATGATTCCTTCTGTCTCTCTTCAGACTTTTTATTTGTGCTTGCTTCTGATTTTCCTTATCCTCAATTTGTCATTATAATCATAGCATTTATATATATTGACTTTTTATCTAAAAATGAAGAAAACTCATTTGTTTCCTTAGTGGGTGAAATCTAATATTATTTATCAGTTTTTTTTAAGTTTCTCATTGTGATGCTCCTGATATGGAGAAGATACTCTATAGCAGTGGTCCTCAACCTTCCTAATGCTGTGACCTTTAACACAGTTCTGTACTGGTGTGTGTGTGTGTGTGTGTGTGTGTGTGTGTGTGTGTGTGTGTGCATGTGGGTGGACCCACCTGGACATGAAAGAGGAGCAGTCTCAGTTTGTAAGACCACCAGAAATATGTTTTTGTGATAATCCAAGGTGACCCTGTAGGGGTCGTGACCCACAGGTTGAGAACTACTGTTCTATGCCTTTAACTAGGAATAAGGAAATAAGGCATTTTTTTAAAAAACCAAAAGTGCTTACATTTTCTTTTAGGGTAGGAAGTAAGGCATGTCCACAAATGGCTGTGTAAAATCCTTTAGAAAATGCATGGTGTGAGTGATAGATACCAGTAGAGAAATGCAAATCATCTTAGTTACTATTCTGTTGACATGACAAAATACCATGCTGATCTAGGCAACTTATAAAAGAAAGGCTCTGATTTGAGGCTTGCTTACAGTGTTAGAGGGTGAGTCCATGACCATCATGGCAGGGATCATGGCAACCAGCAGGCAGGCACGGTTTGGGAGCAGTAGCTGAGAGCCTACAACTGGGCGGGTTTTTGCCCTGAGGGTCACTACCTTTATTACATTTCTCCATATCTTTTATCACAGACTAAGGCTTCAATGTTAATATCCTAGTGTTCCTTTTCTCCTCAAACTGTACATTTTGTATTTTTTTTTGCCCTGCTTGTTCTTTTTCATTGTAGATCACCATAGTAGTGATCACTCATAGTCTCATAACACAGGCAATACTTGACTATACCCGAAATCTCTACCAGCAAAACTAGTCTGAAACTCTTCAATTTTCCTTCCAGCAGGCAGATTCTTAGCATAAGGACCAAAAGCAACTACATTCTTTGCGAAAATATTCCAGGAATTGTTGTTAGCCTCGTGGCTAATACCGTTTACCTCTGAAACCAGTGAATCTGGGCAAAAAAAATGAAACAGTTTGGTTAGACATGTCGCAGCAATAGCCCACACACTGGTACTGACTCCTGTCTTAGTTCCCTTTCTATTGCCGTGATAAAACACTATGACCGAGGCAACATTGAAAGAAAGAGTTTAATTTGGTGGCTTATGATTCCAAAGGGTGAGTCTATAGCCAAAGTGCCAGGAAGTATGACAACAGTCAGACAGCATAGGAGGAGTAGGTGAGAACATACAACTCATCCACAAGCACTAGGCAGGAGAGGGGGAGGGAGGGAGGGAGGGAGGGAGGGAGGGAGGGAGGGAGAGAGAGAGAGAGAGAGAGAGAGAGAGAGAGAGAGAGAGAGAGAATGGTATGGGAGTGGTGTGGGTTTCTGAAACCTCAAAGCACATCCCTAGTGACACACTTTCTCTAACAAGGTTCTCAAAGAGTTCTACTAGCTAGGGACCAAGTATTAAAACAGATGGGTTTATGGGAGCTATGGTGATTCAAACCACTACACTGCAGTTTGACTTCAGATAACACATTTGCTATTTGTGGAAAATTAAGGAAAGATTTGTTTTGACATGTAATATATTGATACAATTCACAAGATATTAGAATCATTATACTTATAAGGAAACAAATAAATGTGCTTTGTCCAAGTCTTCACAAATTCTTCTCCTTTCTGACAGCTAATCTGGGTTGAGGGGGGCTGACAGAAGAAAAGTTAAATGTGAGTCTAAAGGCCTGATAGGTGGGGATATTGGGTTATGGTGGCAAATAGAAAAGATTAAGAAGAGGTGGGGAGAATTTGGTTTATTAAAGGGGAATATCATGAGATCTTCTTGAACCAGTGGGATGTGGGGTGCTTAATAGAGAGGGTACCTAATGAAATTCAAAATGACACAGCTAAATGTCACATTGGAGATACAAATAAGAGGGTTGGTATCTTAAGTTTACTGTCAATGGTAAAGGCATGAGTGTGATTGCTGTGGGGTAGAGAGGCCAGAACTGGAGAAATATCCACTTCAAGGGAACAGAAAGGAGGACCCACTGTCATAGCAAATGTCTTCTCAGAGAAGGTTGTTAAAACAGTAACAAGTAAATAGAAAGAATTGAGTAACCATATCAAATAAACATAAAGCTAAAGACAATAAATATGGGAATGAACTTTGACAGTTAAGAAAGTGACAGTGATATTTAAAACAACAGTTTCAATATGCTTGTGGGAGCAAGATCCAGATTCAGGAAGCTAATGGATAGACTTCTCAAAGGGAAGTGGAGGAAGTTAAGTGTGGGGATATTGAAAAGGATATTGGTCAAAGGCAAAAGAAAAGGTATCACTAGAAGAGAAAGCTGAATCTTGGAAACCCTGAAAGATTTGTAGATAGAATAAATCAGTAATGGGAGTGAACAGTGATGCAACGGAGTAAAAAGACAAGTGTGGTGAGATTCTGAAGGAGAAAAGAGGGGATACAATTTCAGGTACACATTGAGACACAACTTTAGGCAAACAAAAGAATAAATTCCTCTTTGATGAGCTGAAAGGAACAGAAAGTAAAGGGCAGTTTTTTGCAGTGTGGAGAAACATGATGAGATGACATTAACTACATTAATTTGATTTCTTCTAGAAGGAAAGGGCTAAGGGAACATGAGGACAGGGTTGTGGAGAAATAAAAGGCTTTCAAATCACAGTTATAGTACTTGATTAATCCAAGTGTGATCATAAAGCTTGGAAGCAATGCGTAAAACTGAGTAACATGAACTTGTAATGAGCAAATTTTTATTTTGGTTTAAAAAAAAAAATGTTTCTCTGTTATAGCTTTGTGGCCTGGGAACAGTGTGATAGATGTTGGGAATTACATACTTTGTTAAATGTGAGAACTACTGCCGGAGGTTTTGAAAGTAACAATTAAAGTTATAACATCAACCATTTTGAAAACACCTGCTAATTTTTAGGGTGGATTTGGCACCAAATCAAATGTAGAGACTAAAGAAAATAAGATACCAAAGCATTAAAACTGTTGAGCTCCTCGGCTGTTAAGAACTCTCCAATGGCTGATTAAAGTTTTTTAGCTGATTTGTTTTTCTAGAATAATTATTCATATAAATATTTTATTTTTGCAATCTTATAAATTTGGGTAAGTCATAATCTAAATTTGGATGAATTTTTATTGTCATTTAAACAGGAAAATCAAAATATACTCTAAAGAGAATCAGTAGTTTATAAATTTTAGCTTTTTTCTTCATGAAAAACACTAATAAAGATTTGAAATAAGCTACATTTCATAGAGAAGATAATCTCATATTTGTTTTCCTCTTTAAGAAAATTTTAAATCATCAAGGTAGGAGTTACTGCACTTCTCATTCAGTCATCAGTTTATCTACTGTCAAAAATGCACAGTCAATACTTTCTTTAGCTTCAAAACAGTCTATTTTGTACAATTCAAATTATTATCTTAGAAATTTTATAGCAAAATTTTCAAAAACATTTTTAATATATTAAAATATTATGATACTGCATATTAAAAACCAATGTACAAAAAGTCAAGATTGATAGTCCCTCAAAATATATTATTTCACTTGATCCAGAATACCCTGTATATTTTATCCCTGTGATAAGCACACTGAACTTCAGAGAAAGTTAATGCCTTTCTTACCTAAGTATCCACTGCATACAGATGATGAAGAAAGCTGTTAACTTTTATTTTATGACACTGTACCTTGCCTTTCCAGTAAGCCTGCTTCCACTAATTTTTAAAGACAGAGTCAATGGATTCACAGCAGCTAAAATCTGATCTGCTTTGTGATTCTCATCCGTTGATACCTCTGAAGCATTTTTTGTGTTCATTTTTTTAATCTTTCTTTATTGTTGAGCACTTATATGATTATAAACATCACTTCTAATCTGTTCATTGAAAAATCTGGATCTGGGGACTTGAGCTGCAGAATTTCTTTTCATCTTAACAATCAGTCTTTTAGCCCAGTCAGTCTAAGACCTAAGAGTAATTGCAGTGTTTTCCAAACAACAATCTTTGCTGTATATTAGCAATTTTATCTACTATAAGTACATTCAAAACAAATGAAAGCAGTTTTGTTTTTTGACGAATAAATGAATAAAACAACCACAAGACTCAAATTAAACTCAAAAGAAGGGAGAAACTGGGTGTGGTGGCACTCACCTTTAGTTCCCTTGTACTTGGAGGCAGAAGTAAGCAGAAATTTGATTTTAGGCGAGCAAGATCTGCATAGAGAGTACCATGGTAGCCAAGGCTGTAGAGAGACCCTTTGTCAAAAGTAAAGAGAAGAAAAAGGAATGTGATGCACATTACATTTATTTTGGACTCCTTGTCTGATTCTTTATTAGTCTTTCGATCTAAGACATATCACAGGCCTTTATTTCATTGACTAACATCTTCTAAGCACTTGGCTAATACTATAGCAATTTAGTTGATTATACAGGTACAGTGGCTCTTAAAGCTTCTGCTCTCAGTTCTCAAAACATATGTTATACTGAGAATCGTAGCCTTGATTATCATCACAAATAGGAATTGTATGCTTCAACGACATGCAAATTGCGTCCTAAGAAAATACTTTTTATATATTTTATTTATTTATTTATTTATTAAAAATTTCCACCTCCCTGCTTCCCTTTTCCCTTCCCCTCCCCATCTTCCCCTCCCTCTCCAGTCCTAAGAGCAGTCAGGGTTCCCTGCCCATGGGAAGTCCAAGGTCCTCCCCGCTCCATCCAGGTCCAGGAAGGTGAGCATCCAAACAAACCAGGCTCCCACAAAGTCAGTCCATGCAGTAGAATAGAAACCCAGTGCCATTGTCCTTGGCTTCTCAGTCAGCCTTCATTGTCAGCCACGTTCAGCGGGTCCAGTTTGATCACATGCTCCATCACTCCCAGTCCAGCTGGCCTTGAAAATACTTTAATGCAGTTCTACCTACTTTATGGTTTAGTAGGACTGATCTATATTTATTCTAAATTTCTCTAGTAATCCTTTTGTGTAGAAAGAAACCTGCCTATGACCCTAGATTAAATGATATCGACCTCATGCTAGACTACCTTAGAAGAAACTTTTATTGTGTCCTGCCTTAGAGCCAATGGATTCACAGAAGCTCAGACCCAATCTGCTTTGTACTCATTTCTCATCCAGAGAAACAAATATTATCCTTCCTACATCCTTCAGATTTCCCACAGAGAACTAGGAAAATAAGGAAATCAAAATGTTCTCATTGATAATGGACTGATTTTAAAATTATTTCTTTCTCCTGGAAGAAATTTATTGATGAATCATTCCATTATCTTCCTAAAATCTGCTACTTCAGAGCCTATAGATATTAGGTATTTGTTGGAGTTCCTATGAAAACTACACTTTTCAAAACAAAATATGTTATTTAATCTCTTATTAGGAACCTTTGTCTCCTTTCCTAAGAGGCGGCCACTTCTTCCCAGGAAACAATGTAATTTATGAAAAAACAATAAGAAAAGTGGAGAAGCTAAACACAGATCAGGTAACTAATAATTATTTTAGAACTTGTTCTACAAGTATAAGTTTTTGAATTATGAATATTATAATAGAACTGAAATAATACTCAATTTTCAAGTACCAGGCAATACCACTGTGAGTTATCCTGTGTCATCATGTCTACAGTTCTTTATGCTATCCTTAATATTTTTATATTTATTTTATTGTGAAGCACATTTTACTGAAAGGGAACCGAAGTCACATAAAAAGCTAATGTTAATATATATTATGTTAATATATATGATGTGTTTTCTTTTAAACTAGTTTACAAAAAAAGAATTTTAAAGGCTACAATGTTATCTTCATTAATTTTATATGTTCATACTTAAATGAACAGTATATAATAATAGATAAGTAAAATTTCTGAAAGATACAGAAAACTGAAAGTTTAAGTAAACATTTTAGTTGGGTACTTTGAAAAGAAATAATTGTATTGTCTCACAATTCTATAAAGTAGAAATCAAAAATTACTATATAGGACAAGACCATCATCCTTCTGGAACTCTTAGGGAAGGAAACTTTTTTGTTAGTTTAGCTTGTGGCAGCTGCAGGCATTCTTCTGATTGCATAACAGCACCCCACCCCCACTATTATCACATGGTGCCCTACATGTGCATCTCCACATTAGCGTCCCTTTCTGCCTGGCTGTCTGTCAAATTTCCCATTTTTTTATGAAGACATTGGTCATATTGGATTAAATCCCACCCCAGTAATTACGTATTACTGGGACTTAGAACATCACCATAAATTTGGAGTATGGGTAACAGCTCAGTATATAATAGGCAGTTAAATATTATAAAATCAGTTTAGATAACAAAATCACTTTTTCGTTTATAAATAAAACACACTGAAAATGTATTGGAGTTTGTTTTTAAACTTCTTGGCATGAGAACACACTCTTTTTATAAACACTTATTGGCAGTTCTTAGTAGACTTGTAAGAAATAACATGCTATTCCATTTTTATGTCCAGTAAAAATGAAATGACATAAAATTTCAGAATGATAATCATCAAAATGTCTACTTTTTGGTTTGCTTGTTAAACTGAATAGTGTCTAACACAAGCATTCCAGAAAGAAGGGCCCAAAATTGATACTGAGTAGAAAAAAATCACTGTTTCTGATCTTCCAAATGATATTTTCTAAACCTATCAATGTACATTTATATTTATTCAACTTGTCTGTCAAAAATGATGCTTCACACGTTTTAAGAAGTAAGAAATGTTTGGGGTACATCATTTAGTGCTGCTTTCAGGTTATCGTTTTAATGAGAATGAATTGTTTTTGTGTTGTCTAGCCTCTCGAAAACAATGTTGACTGTTCTATACTTGTCATTCTGCTCATGCAGGTGAAACAATTAAGAAAGAAATATTTTAAGAACACTGCTTTTGCTTATTGTTGGTATCAATGTTTGACTGTTCTTACCTTTTATCACTAATAATTTCAGTGATTTGCAAGTTTTAGAACTGCTATGTAAACTGTCCAAATTAAAATTGCCTGTGCAAATGGACCAAAGTATAGTTTTGTTCTGTTGTTTCCTCAGTGATAGGGACTATACCATGACATGCTGAACAAAGCTAAGGTCCAAACAAAACTATTTACTGGCACTTGTAACTGAATCAAATACAACCAGTTACTGAAATTAGACCTGTCCAATAAAAAGAAGGCTTTTGTAGTAAAAAGTTGGTAAAGTAGTACCACTTGCAAGATCTTTTCAAATATTTGTATTTTATATTATTGTATTTCCCCTCTATCTAGAGAAATCACCTTTGACAGATAATAATAGTTTGATATTTTGTGCTTTAAAATTTAGATTATGATATACTTCAAAATATGATGTTTATATGAATATTTTTCTTTAAAGCAATAACTCTGATAGTTGACTCTAAGAACTGGAGCTGTAAAACACGTGAGCGTATGAAACTCTGGCTTCTATTTTAACACCAGGACTGATAACAGTAAACACATTTGTTAAGGTGACATTTTATAACATAAAAGAACAGATAATATATTTATCTGTCAAATTTTAAGCAAAGTTTATTAAAGCATATGGTTAGTTTTCTAAACTGTAAACATCTCAGTGCTATCATACTTATAAAATGAGTCATATTTAAGTCTAGAGAAAGGAAAACCAAGAACTAACTTTATGACTTTTAGTAATTGTTTTTATTGCGCCGTATATTTTTCTCCATTCTCCTCCCTTCCTCCCTATTTTATAACTACCAAGGCAGTTTCCATTCATAATATATGGCTCCTCATGTATTTTTCTTCATTTCAAAATATTTTATGCAGCTAAAAAGCAATTCATATAGAGTAAAAAGTTTCAGAGTTTAAAAAGAATATTAAAAACAATGCAAATATTACTAATGGTACCTGACTTCTCTATCTGGGCCTTATGTTTCTAGTTTTTGTTTTTTTTAGATAGTCTCTCTTAGATGTTTATTATGCTATTCATACAAATGCAGATATATATATTTATAAAATCACACACAATGTAAAGTCTTACATTGTATGGATTAAAAGCACCAATTGGTGGTTTTCATTGTTGAAAAATAAATAGTCTCTTCTCCATTTTCATAAGCATGAGGTCATTGCCTCCCTAACAGGGATAAAAACATAATTCCTGACACTGAAAATCACTCTATTGTATTATTTCCTAATTTTAAATTCTTATGCATGTCCAGCATTATAGACATATTATGTAATTAGAAGCTACAGTACCTGTTGAATCTTCAAAGAAAGCTTAATTATTATTCATAATAGTTTTAGAATTAAGTAAAACTGAAATATTAATTTAATTAGACATGTAATTCTATCGCATATCTAGGTAAGTAGTTTGGTGGTCATAGCTACTACTGATTAAATAAAAGCAAAATTCATTAAAATTTCTCAATGTACAAATTAAATAATATATCACTAATTAAAGTTACAAGTTCTAAATCTTTAATTATTTTATGATAGATACATTGTGGAGAGAGGGGAACTCTCATCCATTGTTGGTGGGAATGCAAACTTGTACATTGTGGTTTTCAAATTTGTTTTCAAAATTTTTCTTGGTTCATAGTAGTTCTGATTCTAGGTGGATACTTTTTGACATGTATATGTGTTTTAGGAATGTTGTCCTCAAATTCAATGCCATCACCATGTCATCCAGCAGCCCCAGATCATCCACTCTCCGCATTGTCAACAGTCCCATTCTAACCATCAAATCCAATGCATAACAGAAAATGACTCAAATATTGGACATGAACTCTGCCATGGTGGCTCAAGCCAGATACATGAGCAGGTAAGAACAATCAACTGAATGCTTAGCAAAGGTCTTGAACATTTCTTACACAAGAATTCTAACATTCATAGTAAATTTCCATCCAAACACTGAGGAAATGTGCCAGTGGCATTTGTGTTTTTCTTAACTTTCTTCTTATTTTTTCTATGTGTCTTTCACATCATGCGTCCTGATTCTATTCATTTCCCCATCCCTTTGCACCTGCCCTTCACCCCTGAAAACTCCCCCTCCCAATAAAACAAAATTTAAGAGAAAAAAGTAAAAAAAAGAGAAATCTCATCATGAAAGCTGCAATGTGACACAGTGAGTCATGCATAAACCCCTCTGCCCCTATATCTTTACTTGCAAATGTTCATTGCAGAGTTCTGGCTTGAAGTCTGGTTCGAGGTCTCTGGTTTCTACTACACTATCAATGTCAGGACCTCACCGAGACTCTCCTTGGATATTCTGTTGTTACCCTGTGTTGTTAAGATCCTGCAGCTTTGAATCTGCAGATCAGGCCCCTTCACATGCTCCAGCAGATCATAGATGTGGTGAATGTTGGGGTGGGCCAAGTGCTTAACCCTGGTTCTGGGCCTAGGCAGCTGCAGTGTTGGTCAGCTATGAGTTCTCCTCTGTCCTCACCACCAGGGTGAATTCTGCAGCACTGTCCTGGATAATTCATCCCTGGTATTTGTGTTTTTACAACATTTTAAGAACTATCCAGACTCCTCTCAAAAGACAAAATAATCAACTAAATGTATGAAGTTATTACTTGATTCATGAATATTTAATTATAACTAATAACTGATCCTTAGAAATGAGCCCAACTGTTGTTCAGTGTTACACATTTTCATGAGATACAATATTCAAATGAACAACAAGTTGCAAATGCTATCATCTGAGATGATTGTTAATGATATCATTTTGCAAGCTGGTAATTAGTTGCTGTATATATTCTTTGAGAATACATTATTCTAATTCAAGTCAAAATATACTTATATTTTACTGCATATTATAACAAAATAGGAATCAAAACTTAGTTGCTAAGGAAAAGACTCCCTGGATACAATCTTGAGTGACTAATTTATGTTGTGAAGACATTGGAGTCTTGTAAATATCTGCTGCACAAGTGATAATAGGAAAAAAAGATTTTCTTCGATCTGGTAGAAACTAATGATAATGACTGCAGTAATGGAGAGTCAGACATCATTTGTACTTACTCCAATTTCAAATTGACCTCTTTCATAGACAACTCTAAGGAAAAGATAAAATAATAAGAAAGAAAATTATTTAAAAAGAAAATTAGCTTCCAATTCAAGAATTGGAACAAAAGAATTGTTTTATATTAAATATACATGAGATTATTCCTGATGCTTTGAAATACACACTTTGGCCAGGTTAGTAAAAAATAAGTAGAAATAATTTAAAATTCGTATTTTTCCAATATAAAAATGTCTAAAATTATGTTTCCTCTGTCTGCATGGAAACATTAGCCTCTAAAGTAGTGTGTGAAATGTCTTATGTTACATGGATTTGTGATGACAAAAATAGCCAAGTTATTAGATTAAATCATTTGAAATTGCTATTTTATATTTCAAAATTGACGAAATAGAAATGCCTCTGCACAGTTCAATTTAATCTTTAATTTCGTTTCGCCTTGGTTTCCTCTAATAAAGGAAAGTGGAAGCACCTAAAATTTAATGCAAAGCAAAATGTTGGCATCTTCCTTAAATGTAACAAACAACACGTTTCAGGAGAAAAGAAAGAAGAAATTACTTTCAACTGGGAGATCAAGGGTGTTTTCAGGAGGTGGGAATTGACTTTGAAATATGAGCAATATTTCCACATTTGGTGCCATGGTATTGCATGGAGACAATGGCCAAAGAAGAACAAAATCCTATGGATAATGTTACAGGTTTGAAGAAGTATATTTTGTGTTTCCAAATTAAGTTAGTCATGGGCTGAGGAGACAGCTCCGTTAGATTATAAAGCATTGCCCATGCAAGCATGAGCACCTGAGTTCAGATTTCCAGAACTGTGAACCCCGGCGACAGTGTGCACATCTGTAATCCTGGTGGCAGGTAGGAGAATTCCTTGAAACAGGTGGGTCAGGTAGACTGCTATATGTAGTGGCAAGCACTTAAATGATCCTTTCTCAAACACAGAGGAATACAAAAACTTACATTTAGGTTGTGCATTGATGGCTAAATGCATGCATGCGGTGGCACATATGGGCCACATTCACACATATGAACACACATATGTATCACACACATGCAGACACAGACACACACACACAGCAAAAAGAGAGAACAAACAAGAATAGTTACTTGTTTGATCTGAATAGAATGGAAAGTGCACAATAAGGATGTACTAGGTTGAAATATTAGCGTGGTACATATAGGCTAGGTCATCAAGTCATAAAATGTTGAGACAAAAACAACTGTAGGCTATATAATGGATAGTTAGTAAAAATATTAAATAGGAAAGTACCAATAAAAATACTACTTTAGGCCAGGAGGCGGTGGTGCACGCTTTTAATCCCAGCACTCGGAAAGCAAAGACAGGTGGATCTCTGTGAGTTCCAGGCCAGTCTGGTCTACAAGAGCTAGTTCAAGAATAGGCTCCAAAGCTACAGAGAAAATCTGTGTCAGGAAAGAAAAAAACTATTGCATTAGAAGATTAGCTATGGCAACTTTGTGCCAAGTAGACTAGCATATTGTTTAATTTTCTTCTCATAATGATCATATTAGGAAGGTATTGTTATTGTCTTTTTGTTCAAACTAAAGTTTGAAGAGATTAAGTCACTTTTCTTAAACAAAACAAAACAATAAAAACGATACAGAAATAAAACCTTCCCAAATCAAAACAAAAAACAAAAATAAAACAGCACTCAATACAGAACAAACCCCCCACCAAACTGTAGCAAAACAAAGGCACACAAAATCTGTGGAGTTCACTATATGTTGGAGTTTGACCTATTTTTTAAAATTTGTGTTTGAGATTGTAATTTGGATGTAGCATGGGAAAAGAAAAAGACACAAACTTTCAATTCAGTTGCTTGAGTTGATAAAACATGATGCTACATGACCTTCAGCAATAAACTTGCTCAGGCTTCAATTGCCTCCTTTGGAACAGGGAATCATACTTTCATGTACACTGTATCCTACAAGAAGGACATTGAAATAAAATCTGTAAAGCACCCTGCTTACTGTCACCCCCCCTAGCAGATTCTCAAATCAATGTTCAATCACTGAACTTTCTGCTGCCTGTCTCAGACCTCAGATGTTTAAAGCATCGCTGTCATAAACTGGTTACATTGTAAAACAACTTTTGGTATTTATGGTCAAACTCAAGCTGTTATATTATATATTATAATATATATGAACTCATAGAGAAAGAGGTAGCATTCACGGGGACTGTATAGGTTTACTCCAGGTAGAGGATATCAATGCTGAGAAGACTTGGACACAAGCTCCCATTCCTTACCCAGAAGCTGTGTCTGATTAATAACCATTCACAGATGAAAAAAAATCAGTTTTCAGTCCAGCTGGGGATCCTGCATGGGACTGAACTAGACCCTCTGAATGTGGGTGACAATTATGTGACTTCATCTGTTGTGGTGGTCTGGCAGTGAGACCAGCACATATCCTGGGTGCATGAACTGGCTTTTTGGAACCCATTTCCTACGGTGGGATACCTTGTTCAGCCTGGATACAGGGGGAGGGATTTGGTTTGGTTCTGCTTCAATTTGGTATATCAGACATTGTTGACCCCCACCACCACCAAGGGAGGCCTTAGCTCCTCTGAGGAGTGGATGGAGGAGATGTGGGAAAGTGGGAGACAGAGAAGGGTAGGGAGGGGGAACTGGGGCTGGTATGCAGGATTAAAAAAAAATAAAAATAAAGGAAAAATAAGTTTTATAGATGGAAGTCTCAATGGGAATACAAACCATTCATAAGTCCAGCCCCCATACCAAGCAGTAGATGGCCAACACAAAATGAACTCATTAGCATCTTTGGAGATTCTTTGTTGATTAAGGCATCTTGACAGGGCATTTTCTTTTATTTCTTCTTTTTTTAAACCTTGAAAGTCCTTTGTGTATATTATGGCCCTGGTTTTATGTTTTTAGGAGAGTCCTATGTGTACAAGCAAGTGTTTCTCTTATCTATGTGTGTATATTGTGCTTTTTCTTTAGCTTTTTTCTTCCGTTTGTTTTTTGTCCTATTCCAGTCTGTTAGGTTTTGTTTTACCTTACTTATTTTATGTCATTATTATTCTTTAGATGCCTGCTTGTTTTCTAAGGAGAGACAGAAAGGGTGTGGATTCCGGTGGGGGAGGGACATGAAGGGAATCTCAGAGGATGGAGAAGGGACAACCATGATCAAAATACTTTGTATGAAAAACACCTATTTTTAATAAAAGGAAAAAATTATTTTTCTCCTTTTGTATTCACTAGATCACTTAAAATTGAGTGAAATGATATTTAAAATACTATGTCAATATTGTTTTTTTCTTGCAATTTCTCCCCTACTAAGAAGAATATACACAACTGAAACTGATGCATAGACTTGATTCATGGGATGATTTTAATAGACTTTTGTTCTTTAAATTTTCATATCAATATATCTGTGAACTTAGAAAAACAATATTTCTTTTAATTGTAATTGATATTTGCCTCAGGTGATAATTCAGGATGATGGCCCTGAAAAATTGGATCCCAAATATTTTGGAGAGTTGCTTGCTGACCTAAGCCGCAAGAATACAGACCTATATCACTGCTTATTAGAACATTTGGAGAGGATTGGAGGAAGGTACTGTAAATACATTATTTGTCTTGATGTTGCAGTTGTCACATATTTTAGTACATTCTTGTAATTTTAAAAATAGATGTTTAAAGTTTTTTATGTGCATACATTGTGCCTCAATGAGTTAATGTGCACCACATGTGTTCAGGTGCCCACGTAGTCCAGAGGGAGCTGGACATTCTGGTATTTGATGGGCAGCTGTGAGATGCCCAGCATTGCTCTATAAATAAAACGTGGGTCTTGTCAAAGAGCAGTATGTGGTTGCAACCACTGAGTATGTTTCTAGCCCTTAAAATAGCCTTTCTGAAAGAGCAGGTTCGGGTTTACAGCAGAACACTAGTGCTCTTAATGAGTAAATAGAACGATTATGTGAAAAAACTGAGCAAATGTTTCATTTTAAAATAGTCAAGGGGTTTAGAGAGATGGCTCAGAGGTTAAGACCACTGACTGCTCTTCCAGAGGTTCTGAGTTCAAATCCTAGCAACCACATGGTGGCTTGCAATCATCTGTAATGAGACCTGTTGCCCTTTTCTGATGCACAGGTGCATATGCAAGCAGAATACGGTATACAGCATTTTTTTTAAAAGGTAGTCAAGCTGATTGTGGTGGCTTCATTCCTGTGACGGCAGCCTTCAGGAGGCTGAGGCTGGAGGACAGCCTTCATTTTGATACCATCATGGATTACATAGTTTATCTTTCCAGCTGGTGCTATTTAGCAAGTATATGTCTCAAAAAAGTCAAAACCAAACAAATAAAGGAGAGTTAGTGTGCTTTATGAAATTCAGCAGAGATATCATTAATTTTAGATCAGTTAAGAGTTGTGTATGTTTTTTTTGTAATGTACTTTGATGCCAAAAACTACTACTTGGGAAAGAAAATAGGTAAAATGACTGACATTAGAAAGACAAAAGATAACAAATGCTGGTGCAGATGTGGAGAAGAAGGAAATGAATATTGTGGTGATGTACACTAGTCGTTATGGGAAAAAATATGAAAGATTTTCAAAATGAAAACTAGAGCTACCATGCAATCCAGAAATCTGACTATTGGGTATGCAATCAAATACAAGGAAATGAGTATGTAAACGACACACCTTCGCTTCCCTGTTCATGATACCAGGGAATGGAAACAACCTGATAATCTACCAGCATAAAAAGAATAAATTCCTGTCGTTTTTAACAACATAAATGGAATTGGAGAGGACTCTATTCAGTAAAATAACACAGCCACATAAAGCAAGTGTCACATGACTTAGTTGGTCACCTTAAAAAATAATTTCATAGAAAGTGAGTGTGGAATGGCTATTGTCACAAGCTCAGTGCAGTGGAAGGTTTAAAATGGAAATTTTACTCCATGTACACTAAATTACTGCTGTATAAGGGCAAATTCTAGTGTGCTATTGCATAGTGTTGACTATAGAAAATGATAAAGAACTTTAAGTTTCAAATCTAGAAGATTTTGAGTCTTGTCCTTATAAAAAATGTGTTTGATAGAATAGAAATGTTTTATCTTTAAATATTATATTTTATACATATAACTCAAATGCTCTATCGATTTATATAGTATATTGTCTGTAACATAAATTATGGAGGATTATATGTTTCTAAATAGAAAACTCTGTACAATATAATAGATAACATGCAGCTATATATTTTTAAATATATTTACCTTTTTATATGTACATGTGTGTATGCCTGGGTTTATATGCACCATATGATTACAGGTGCCTACACAGACCAGTAGAATTTGGATTCTCTGGAATTGGAGGGAATCATTCATTTGTAGATGACAGCACATGGCTATTAAATGAATACCTAATGCTATCTAGTCAAAACATGAATTCAGAGCCATCTGGAAGATAAAGGAATGCCAATAGACTTTTTTTTTTAATTCAAAGTTTTCATTGGCTACATTCTTTTGCTTCTAAATCTTTATAATGTAGAATTTATATATCATATAAATATAGAGGGTATGACACAATATATACTATTTTGTATACCTTTAAAGTTAAAGAAGGTAACATATTTTCCAAATCAATATTTATATTTAGTGTCTTTAATATATTCTTTTAATCTTTTACCCATTTCTTTTCTATCAATTTTATTACATTCCTACAATCATTTTCCTTAACTACTTTTTGTTGCTCTCACTAGGGCTCTCTCTCACTTATCTATTTCTGCTGCCATTCCTACTACTCACCTTCTACTGTTCACTCTCCATAGTATTTAGAAAACTACATAAGGGCTATTTTATGTAGTTTTGGATTCATGTGGCTTAATACAGGACTCAGTATCTGTTGATTAATCATTTACTTTCATTACTGTTCATTCATTTCAAACACATCAAAGTACAGCTAATTATTAAATTTATTCCCTTATAAATACATAGATTTTCTCTTTTGTGAGCTTTTTATCAATATACCTAATAACATCTCACATTGCATGAACTACTCTCTTCTTTCCTATGACCCAAAGAACTACCTCATGCATTCAATTCTTTTTGCACAAGTTTTCTATGTTAATATTTTCATTCCCCTCAGTAACCTATTCATTGAGTTGACCAGAATGTGTCAGATACTATATTGCTTAACTGTATTATAAAATTTCAAAACTAACCTCATAAAATTTCAGATGAAGATCTAGGGGACATGTTATTAGTCAAGATCACATAGCTACTGAGAGCTTGAGATATATTCAAATATTTTTGAGTATTTTATTCTCTCATCTATAAACTATGACTCCGTATTTCTGCAACACACTCCCTAAATCTTGATTAGGTCTAAATGAGCCTCTTTTGGTCTCTATGTTTTCTGTATTTTTCGTTTTTTTCCTATTCGCTTTCAATATTTCTAAACCAGTACCATATACATGCATGCAAACTTTTGTATATGTATCAGGCATGCCTTAGGAATGGGAACGTACATTTTTCTTTTGCTGTAGTACCTTATCTATTTTTATTACTATATGCAAGAGGTTTTTAACACTGACCCACTTATCTCTATAAGCAACAATTTGCTTATAAGCAATTACACAAGGGGTAAAGGTAGGGACTAATGTGTTAAAACTCTCTTACCTTAAAATATTATTTCTGTCTTGTTGACAGAACATATACAACTGCTTTTCTGTTTATTTGACATGTTCGCATACATGTTCATACCTCATTCTTCTACTATGTGCAGAGGAAGCAATTGGACAAAAATAAAGTTTGGTCTGTTGCCCTTGACAACATTGTAACTGTATTCTTCCAAAGCTTCACAATTCCTGCAGGAGGACATAACAGACTGGTATAACCACTGACAATACCATAAGATTTGCCTTCTTAATTTGGCTCCACAAACACTCTCTCAACCTCTGTCCAAATACTCATATTTTGCTCAAAATTTTATTTTCCAAGTAGAATTTTGATTGCTTTGCTTTGTTTGGTGTAGGTTCATATACTGTTGTTACCTCATGTCTTCCTAGTATACATAGATTAAATGAATTGACCATATCTTTAAAGTTTATGTTTTGGTAAAATAGAATGGATAGCATGAAAATATCAATAGAGAGAAACTAAACTCAAAATTGAAAGTGAAAACCAGAGTGAAAAAAGGGAGGTAGAACTCGACAAAACCTGTAATTGTTTAATTCAGCCAAGTACCATTTGCTGTTAAGAATTTCTACATCTGCCCTCAGATAGACTGGTAAAAATGGAAGATGTCCTAACTAATTCTGCATATTTTATTATTTATTTGATACTCATTTTTAGTAGGTCAGATAGTTTCAAAAAATTATTTTAGTCAAACTAAGTGAAAGTTCCATTTTTGATATTTAAATTATTTTATTTGGGATTCTAACTTAAGCTGGTACTATTATGATATACAAAATATAAAACAGGTAGAACAAGCATTTTTATTTATGATTACTGAATCTATTGTTTCTAAAGTTGTGATTTTGTTATTCTTACAGCAAACAAGACTTTGAGTCTGCAGATGCAGTAAGTCCAAAAATCATTAAAATTAAAGAGACAACAAAGTACATTGTGATTGTGATAGCAATAATATCCTTTTATTTAGTGTATTTATTAGACTGGAAACACAGGTTAGAAAAGTGATGTTTATATCTTTGTAATGACTGCAAATATAATAATTACAAAGAATAGTTTTATGACTGTCACTAGAATTTAAGTTGTTGAATGTACAATTAAAATTTACCTGATCACAAAACTGTATTTAGAAGACATAAATTATACAATAAAAATCAATTTCTTCTAATATGCTTCAAATTGTGTGTGATATCAACTTGAAGTGAAAAGCCTTTAAGTATCAATTTCATTGCAATGTAATTATGTAAAAAATATTTTAAGTTAATAAGCAATCAGAGTTTATTTTAGCACAATATAAAGGAATCTCACCTCTTGTGCATTAATTTTTAAAATTTTATCATTATTTCCAGTATTATCACTATTCTCCCCCCATTCATTAAAGTAATTCTATATATCTTAAATTTCCTTATAAAAGCATGCTTTTTTTAAGCTTCTCTCTTAAATTTAGTTGAAGCTTACAAATGTTGCTGTGGCAACACTGCAATCTCTCAGAAGTCATCGTAGCCTAAAGCAAATATTCTTTGAGTCCTATAATATCTATAATTTTATATCACAGTTTTCATAATTTAAAAATTAAGCTTCTCAAACATATCTAACATCCAACAAAACTTACTTTTGGAGGATACAGTGATGCTATTTTCAGGGTAATTTGAATTTTTGTATTATTGTTATTATCTCCATCATCATTATTATTTGCTTTTATGAAATGGAATCTGGCTATATATCATGGCCTGGCCTTCAACTTATTATGTAACACAAGCTAGCCTTGCTCCTCTTGCCTCAGACACTTGGGTCCTGAGAATATTGGCATATACAACCACAAGCAGATAAGTAATCATTTTTTCAAATGACTTTCCCCCACCCCTTTGGTTTTGGGGTTCAAAGCAAGGACCTTATAATACATGCAAGCACTGTGTCACTGAGTCCTAGCCTTAAACTGATCTTTTAAAGCAAAAATGGAATCTTTGGCTGGCTGCCCACATCTTTTCTATAGCAATCTCTGGAATTTAGTATTATGATGAAGTATGTGTAATATAACTAAGTATTTAAAAGTGAGAACTGGTAAAAGAATGAATGATATTCATAGAAACTATTCTTTAAAAGGTAATTTCATCTTCTGCTATCCTCCCAAATATGCTTTTTTATACAAAAACCTATGAACCGAATCCCATAAGATTAAAATATTGATGCTTTAAATGGATAAATTCCATTTTCTTACAGTCAGAAGACATTGAGTCATTGATTCCTAAAGGACTGTCAGAATTTACAAAACAGCAAATTCGTTATATTCTGCAGGTAAGATGAGATCATAATGTCCAACTTTGCTATGATAGTTTTGCTTCATCTTATTATATTTTTTTGTCATGTTTGGTTGTCATCTCTAAGAAGTCTGTCCGTTTCTAATGTGAGACAGAAAGGAAGTAGTTCCAGAAAGGAGCGGAAGTCTGGAGAATGGGGAGAAGTAGATGGAGGGGAAAGTATAATCAGGATATATTCTGTGAGGAAAAAAAATCCCCATTTTCAGTTAAAAAAAAGGAGCTTCAGATCAACTTACACAAATATTTTTTTAAAAAAAATCTTAATAAACTTAAAGTGTCAGTGTGTGTGTACATGCGTGTGTGTTTGTGTGTGTGTGTGTGTGTGTGTGTGTGTGTGTGTGTGTGTGTGTGTTTTAAGAGATCAACTCTAGGAAACTGCTACCAAGCATGATGAAAAAAAAAATCATCTCAAATAAAAACTGTGTTCCACAGGAGTTGACTATAGTTTAATTAAATAGGATCACAATAGAGCTTAGTCTGATCACCATGACTAGATGTCTAGCGCTCAGGAAATAAAACTAGAAATATTATTACTTTCTGTGAATTGTTCTTATCCACTCTTCCATGGCATAGTACCACCCGATTCCAAATCATGGTCTTTTCTTTCTCTTCCCTGCACCCATTTCATAGTCTAAGTCCCCCCACACCATTCCAAGTACTGGCAGTGAAAGATATAAAAGCATGGCCTTAACTTTCCTGTGTTGTATAAGAACTGAATCCAAATGGAGCAGGAAATGCTCCTGTAATGAAGGGGAATCCATAAATTAGATAGAAGCTAAGGAAATATGACTGAAAAGGAGCATGAATTAAGAAAATAAAAAAATGCTATCCAGAGGAAAAAGAAACATTATATATGTCTTATGGGAAAGCAAATTTATCCAGACACTATGGAAAGTACTGTGTTGGGTCTAAAAATAACTAAAAATAAAACTGCTGTCGTAGTCATGGTTTCTATTGCTATGATAAGGGTTTATTTCACCTTACACTTCCAATCGTCTGTTAGTGTGGGAAGTCAGGGCAGGTACTAAAGAAGAGGCCTTGCAGGAATGGTGCTATTGGCTTACTCCCCTGGTCTGCTCAGTTTACTTTCTTATACAACTCAGGATCACCTTCCCAAGGGTGGCACTGCCCATAGAGACCTGAGCCCTCTCACATCAATCAAAGCAATATCCCACAGACATTCTTTGTTCTTAGTTCTGCTTCGATATCAAATACATGGTATTTTAGAATTCCATTTTGACTTGCTATTATTTTGGGGGGTGCATATTTTTCAGTAGTTTCTCTCACTATCAAATTATATATTCATGACTTAATCCAGTGTGTGGATTTGAACATTTTTCCAGTTTTAGAAAACTGTAGAAAGCTTTGGGGTTTTATGTCTCTTTATCCTATATTTATAATATTATTCTGAAACATTTCTTATCCTTTCATAAACAACATATTAGTAATATAATTTTGTTTCAACTACCAAACATAAATAAGAAGGCTCAGCATAATTATAGCCTGTCATGTTTACCCATATGATTTTTCCTTCTTAATGTCCAACATTTCTTGACTTAGAATTTTATTCTATTTAGAAAAATTCCTTTAGCTAGTCTTTAAAAGTAGGTCTAATAGTGACTTTTTATTTCCATTTTCTTAGGTCTGAAAAATATCATGATTTGATTTCTACATTTGAAAAGAAACTCTATTTTATTGGATATAAAATTCATGGTTGATATTTCTGTTCTTTTAGCATTTGAAAAAATACTGTATCAGTTTTTCTTTTCTCTGTGATTTCTAGGAGAAATGTGTTATTCTTTTATCTGATTTTCCTAGTAGCTAAGGTTACTCTTGTGCCTTTCAAAATTTCTCTCTCTCTCTCTCTCTCTCTCTCTCTCTCTCTCTCTCTCTCTTCCTGGATTAATGTATGGAAGAGTCTGACTCCTCCTTTCCCTATTCTAACAGTTCATATCTTTTTATTGGCATCTATTGATTGATTTTCCTTATCAACTTCAGACTTCCTTTTGTCTTTCAGTGTTTAGTGAGTCTAGTCCAGATGGAAACCTGAACATTTTGTTACTGTGTTATGAAACTCTGAGTCTTATTCAGATATTTTATTTTAGAAGGTCAACTCCTACAGTAAAGGATCAAAGGAAGTAAGACAGTTTTTATTACTGCCAGTTAGAAGTCAGCATTCTTCTAATTGGCCTGTCCACATATGGTAGGATGGAAGACTTAATGGTATTAAGAATACAAGAGAGCTTGGAGTATCATTTTTTTTTTTTGCCGTTAGGATGAAAGTTTCAACTCTATACTCTGCTTTTCCTGACGTGAACCTAGTAAAGAGTGTTGGTGTATTTATTTAAATTCTAATCATGGTAGACATATGGGCTCATTTACCAGCCTCTTATCCTTAGATGAGATAACAGCCACAGTTTCCCCAACCCTACCCAATTTGGTATTTGGTTGGAATCAAATTGTTATTGTCTAAAGTTTATTTGTTTGTTTTTCACATTGCTAATTTTTCCTTTCATGGTCATAGCTAGAGACAAAGTTTTTCATCATCTTGAGCCTTTCAATATTTTCTATGTATAATTATCTGTAATTTTCAGTCACACTTAATAAGAACACCAGGAGAATGTATTTCATTTCCCTCTTTGCAGAAGCTCAAGTTTTCCCTTAAAGCTTTCCCATTAATTTTGGTATATGGTTACTATCTAAAAAATTGTCCATTTCTTTTACATTTTCCAATTTTATGGTGTACAGGATTTTGTAGTAAGACCTTATGATTCTCTGAATTTCCCCAGTGTCTGTTGTTATGTCCCCCTTTTCATTTCTGATTTTGTTAATTTGCATGCTCTCTCTGTGTCTTTTGATTAGTTTGGGTAGGGGTTTGTCAATCTTGTTGATTTTCTCAAAGAACCAGCTCTTTGTTATATTGATTCTTTGGATTGTTTTCTGTGTTTCTATTTTGTTGATTTCAGCCCTCAGTTTGATTTCCAGTCTTCTACTCCTCCTGGGTGAGTCTGCTTCTTTTTTTCTAGAGCTTTCAGGTGTGCTGTTAAATCTGTGATGTGAGCTTTCTCCGTTTTCTTTATGTGGGCACTTAGTGCTATGAACTTTCTTTCCTCTTAGCACTGCTATCATGGTGTCCCATAGGTTAGGGTATGTTGTGTCTTCATTTTTGTTGAATTCAAGGAAGACTTTAATTTCTTTCTTCATTTCTTCCTTGACCCAGGAGTGGTTCAGTAGTTGACTGTTCAGTTTCCATGAGTTTTTAGGCTTTCTGGGAGTAGTTTTGTTGTTAAATTCCAACTTTACTCCATGGTGATCCGTTAAGACACAGGTGGTTACTCCAAGTTTTTTTTCTGTCTGTGAATATTTGCTTAGTTACCAAGTATGTGATCAATTTTCAAGAAGGTTGCATGAGGTTCTTATAAGAATGTATATTCTTTCCTGTTTGGATGGAATGTTCTATAGATTTCTGTTAAGTTCATTTGATTCATTACATCTGTTAGTTCTCTTATTTTTCTGTTAAGTTTCTGTCTGGTTGATCTGTCCATTGGCAAGAGAGAAGTGTTGAAATCTCCTACTATTAGTATGTGGGCCTTGATGTGTGATTTTAGTAATGTTTCTTTTACATATGTGGGTGCTTTATATATTAGGGATATATATATATATATTTAGGATTGAAACTTCAATAAGCAAATGAGACTAATATATTGTAAGAGTTTTCTCTTGTGGGAAGTCCAAGGCCCTCCCCAATACATCCAGTTTGAGCAAGGGTGTCTTGCACTCTCTTAAGATTGGAGGGGGCAGGAAAAGAGTTGTGGAAGGACTGGTAGGAGGGGAGGAAGTGGGAATTTGGATTGATATATTTTTTAAAATAATAAAATAAAAAAGTGAGGAAAAAAAGAGTTTTTTCTCTTTGAAATGAGTCAGTTCCATCTATCTTTCAATACTAAAGTTTATCAGTATTTTGTGAGCATGTTATGTTAAAAACATTGACAAAGGCATAGAACTTTGCATGTATTTCCACAATTTCAGGATTTATTGATTAATAATAAATTCATACGTTATGTCAGTATGTTGGCTGTACATCAACAATTACCCCTGATGGACATTGGAAATGGCAAGTTCTTTTATTCAAGTCTTACTAATATTAATACTCATCTTATGCATTTCATGTTACACAATGACAAATAGGATAAAGATTTGCTAAGAAATCATTAAAGAGACTTCAGGATTCAAAGAAGTTTTCGTAAAAGCCTGAACAGTACACTCATACAAATGAATAAGAGTCATTGGAGGTAGTTAGGTAAGACATTTAGGAACCCTATCCTGAAGGAGTTTTGCAAGACAAAAATATCTTCAAGACAAACTTGGTTCAAGGGTAGTCCACATGCGGTCAACTCATCTAATGTCAATTCTAGTTAGCCATGGCAGGAAGATAGGGCCATCATGAGCTGCAGTTCTGGGGTCAGAGCTGAAAATTTCTCACTTGTTGATCCCATGATGCATGTACCACAAGATCTGATGATATGAATATAAGCCTGCACACATCAGGGGTAGGGTTATCTCCTTTTACATGAGTGTTGCATCATTTATTTGTCTGGTATGGATGATAAACTTTTTAGAATTGGTTTTTGTTTTATATGGTTTTGATATGCCCATATTCCCATGTATTCTTCATTTAATTTAACTACAGAAGTTCAGAGGAGGTAAGAGTTGAATTTGCCTAAACATATTATTCTTCAGTCTGTGTCCCATGATTCTTACTGGGTTATTCATTTTCAACAAATAAGGCAGGAAGTCATTCTGCCTCAGGATTTGTATTCAAAACTCAGCGTTTTGTTTTAGTTCTGTTTCTTCATCTGTCTCAACAGCCCTGTTTGGCTTTTGATGGGCTGGACAGATGAATCACTGTTTGCCATAGCAGAGAATCAGGTTTGATGTCTCAGCACTCACACAAAGTTAACATTCAGTAACTCTACCTTCAGGACATTTGATGCCCTCTTCTTGCCTTTCTAGACATCAGGCACTCACGTGATGCTTATCTATACATACAGGCAAAACACTCCAACACATGACATAAAATGAACACACCTTTGAAAGAAATAGCAAATGGCCTCTAGGGCAGGGTACCGCCTGAAAACACGAATCACAATAGCTTAGAGCAGAGCACACTGTACTCCACATAGTAATTTCTTCTTCCCACCACGGGCAGAACCCATGCCCTTCACAGCACACTTAGGCAAGTTCATTTTGTGGCTTGAAAATTAAGTGTCTCATCTCTTCTCTAACCATTTAAGCAAAGAATGAAAAGAAAAGCAAAATTCGATAGAATTGTACTGTGTGAAGGAGATGATGCTCTGTTCATACAAAAGGAAAAAAAAGTCTTCCAAAGGCATAGTTGAAATATTTTGAGGAACATTGCTTGGCCTGCTTAAGAGCATTATTCAGAAAGTTCTTTTTGTTTCTGAGAGTGCGGGGGAATGGGAGGGGTTACAACAAAAGTGTATGGGGGGGTGTCTGGAGGGTGGAAAAGGAAAGAAAATTGTGATGTAATTGTGTTTTAATTAAAAATATGTGTAAGATTCTGGGTATGGTAGCACAGGCCTTTAATCTCAGAATTTGGGAAGCAGAAGCTGGTGGATCTCTGGGAGTTCAAGACCAGCCTGCTCTATCTAGAAAGCAAGCTCCAAGACAGTCAGGGCTACATAGTGAGCAACTTTCTCATAAAAAGGACTTCCCACAGGGCAGGGCACCCAGACTTCTCTTAGGACTGGAGTAGGAGTGGGGAGGAGGAGTAGGGGGAGTGGGAGGGAAATGGGAGGAGGGGAGGAGGTGGAAATTTTTAATAAATAAATAAATAGATAAGGTATTAAAAATATCATTTTTTCGAGACAGGATTTCTTTGTAGCTTTGTAGCCTGTCCTGGAACTTGCTTTGTAGACCAGGCTGATCTCGAGCTCACAGAGACCTGCCAGTCTCTGCCTCCCGAGTGCTGGGATTAAAGGCATGTACCACCAACCACCTCCTGGCTAAAAATAAAAAAAATTTAAGTGCTTTGTAGGAACAGAAAAAAGTATGTTTGCTTGTATTGCCTATTTTGAAACATTAACAAAATAAACCATTAACTGCTTTCTTCCCACAGATGAGGGGTATGTCTGATAAGTCACTGAGACTAGTGTTGTCCACATTTAGCAACATACGGGAAGAACTGGGACATCTTCAAAATGACTTAACAGTAAGATTTTATTTTGAGATTTCTTCCCAAAATCTTTCTGATTCTTAGCTTTCTAACAGAAATGAAAATATTCAATATATTTTTAAATGTATTGCAACATTATATTACACCTACCTAGACATAAATTATTTGTGAAATAGCTAATTAGCATTGAAAGATGACAAAAGAGCTTCCCCAAGAGTGCATGAGTGTATATTGACATGCACCAATCATTTAATTTACCACTAAAATAATTTAGTGGTTAAAGCCAGAGTTGCCTACAAATTAGAACAACCATAGTCATTTAATAAAAATTCCCTTCTTTACTGTAATAATAAAGCATACTTTGAATTTCTCTCTAAATAAAACAACTTGAAAACCCCTTCCTGCCAATACTTAACCTTTCATATTTTTAATTTTAATTGTATCTTTCGTATCATCAGGTAGATACATTCTGAATGTTCTCTTCACAGTGAAAAACACCTTAAGGACTTTGGAGCGCTTTTTCCCTAATTTTCCGGTTTGTTTTTGCATTCTCATGAGTGTAGTTGAACATTAATTTGAAAATTGTCCACCTGCTGGGATTAAGAAGTTTTTGTAGATTTAAGTAAGACATAAAAATGATTGAGCACTTTCTGCTTCATTGCACTTAGCAGTAGCCAGTCTATCAAAATACCCCTTCTAATACATGTTTTCAAAGCTTGGGTTTTTCTATCTTAGCTTTTGCTTGACTTTGAAGAATTCTACATTTTTAAGTAGTTACAGATGAAACAAGTTTTTACTTAAATTTTGCAACATAAACATGACTTTGCCTATTAACAATTTTATATAAAACTCTGAGTCCTAATAAGTAATTTATGCCTTTAGTCTCTGGAAAATGACAAGATAAGACTTGAGAAAGACTTGGCATTCAAAGAAAATCAAATAAAAGAGTATGAAGAACTCTTGGCATCGGTGAGAGCAAATAATCGCCAACAGCAAGTAAGTTGATGTCTTTAGTATGTGATACTCTAGATTGATAACTTTCCATATGCATAATTACTGGCATATTGAAGTTCTAAGATACTATCCAGAGAGCCTTAATGTGATGGAACAGTTTATTCACCTAAGAATTGAGCAACTTTGATTATTTTCTTTTTGTGTGTGTGTTTTGTTTTTTGGTTGTGGTTTTGGGGTTTTTTTTTTTTGACACAAGGTTTCTCTGTAGCTTTGGTGTCTGTCCTGAAACTAGCAGTTGTAAACCAGACTGGCCTCAAACTCACAGAGATCTGCCTGCCTCTGCCTCCTGAGTGCAGGGATTAAAAGGCATGCAACACCACCGCCTGGCTATCTTTGCATATTTTCAACAACTGAATGTCCTCTCAAACACACACACACACACACACACACACACACAGGCACGCACACACACACAAAACAATACCTAGCAACGTTATGTGTTATATAGTATACCCAGCACACAGTTCTCTGTACTTTAGAGCAACAAGAATTGTGACTGAAAGTCTATGTTGACTCATTCTTTTAATCTAATGCTATGTTAATGGAAAAAGAAGCTTTGTAGATCTTGTTTGTTCACTGAATAAACAAGGGAATTAACTCTATGCACTTTTACACTTGACTGAGTAGAGATAAATCTAACCAAGCTCTAATGATGCCCAAGAGTTCTTTCTCTCCTTTTTTTTTCTCATGGCTTTCCCAAAGATTTTATAAAGTTGATATTCTTTACCACGATCAAAGTCATGATTATTTTAGCAACTATTAGTATACTATGATGTGGTCAGACTATAATGAATATAATACTAAATTGGGACACTAAAAATTTTATGTAAATGCTGTTTCTTTTTACTCAAGTTAGGCAAATGAGATTGGGGCAATTTTAATGTTTAGTATGATGTTTAAAATATCATTTAAAGGCAAGAATCTCAAAAGATCCAGTTTGAAACATTTGCTTCATTTTTTCAATGAATCATTTAAAAGGCCATTTCCTCTGTAAAATCAAAATGCATTTTCTTATGGACTTGTGTCTGTTTTGCAGCAAGGACTTCAAGACTCAAGCTCAAAATGTCAGACATTGGAAGAAAATAACCTTTCTCTTCGACATACACTATCAGACATGGAATACAGACTAAAAGAACTAGAGTATTGCAAGCGTAATTTAGAGCAAGAGAATAAAAACCTTAGAATACAGGTACTAATCTTTATAGTACTGTGCTAGTTATCTAATTATAAAGCTATCATTGTTAACAGAATGTACAAACTTCACCTTGTGAAGTACATTGACTCTTTTATGTTAACCTTAAATGAAAGTTTTATCATACTGATACTTGAACTTTGTCAAATAACCTCTTAAGGTCATTTTTATTATTTCAATGCCTTATTTAATCACACAGTATTCGTGTAATAATAATATGGAAACCTAATATATATTTCCTTCTTAACAATCCAATCACAGACAGTTATTTTGGTTTTGTACAGGTGTCTGAGACTTGCACAGGCCCAATACTGCAGGCTAAAATGGATGAGATTGGCAGCCATTATATGGAGATGGTAAAAAACTTAAGAATTGAGAAAGACAGAGAAATCAGCAAGCTAAGGGTATGTTGATCCCCTACATTGAATAAATATATATGTCTACAGAAAGTTCTTTCAACAAGAGTGATGCTTGGGCCTTGAGAGGTAACTGAGACATTAAAAACGCTTGGTATTCAATCATGGGGAGCAGAGTTTGGGTCTGATCACCAATGTAACAAGCCAGTCAGCCTTCAGATGCCTGTAACTACAGCTCTCCAAGATCTAGCTCTCTCCTCTGGCCTCTTTACACATGCATGAAAAGATAAATTTTATTAAAGAAAATGATTTTCATCACCATCAGCACCACTCCCCAACCCTACTACCATTAGAAAGAAAAACAAATGATTGTTTTAATTTTAAATCTACAAAGAAAAATAAGTTAAGATTTTTAATGTCTTCTAAAACCTTTTCTTATAATTATATTTCTGAATATTAAAAAGCAATGAAATTTCTAAGTGCTATCTTAAGTTAAATTATTTTCTACTGTAGGTTAATTTTTCTTCTCAGATGTTAAAAAGATATTAATTTCATTGTCTTGATTTTTATTAATTTTTAACAATTTATGTTTGGTAGATGGGTGGAGGACCCTTCATAAAATTGCATGTTTACTCAGAAAAGCATAATATTTAAAATTATACAGTTAAGCCATAATTTATCTGAATGATTATAAATATTTTAGTTAACTTTTTTAATTAAAAAAAATTACACACTGGGCAGTGGTGATGCACGCCTTTAATCCCAGCACTCAGGAGGCAGAGGCAGGCAGAGCTCTGTGAGTTCTTGAGATCAGCCTGGTTTACAAGAACTAGTTCCAGGACAGGCTCCAAAGCTACAGAGAAACCCTGTCTCATAAAAACAAAATAAAAATTAATAATTACACCATTTCCCCTTTCTCATTCCTCCCTCCAATTCTTTCTGTATGTATACACATCCTTTGCTTTCTCTAGATAATCTGGCATCTTTTACTTTAAATGTTACTATTACATATTTTTACAAATGCCTAAATACATAAAAACAACCTGTTCAGCCCATTTAGTGTTACTTGTATGAATATAATTTTAAAGTTAAGCATTCGGTATTGAATAGCCAATTAAGGAATTCATCCATAAGGAAACTTATTTCTCCCACTCTCTGCATTCCGTAGTTGCTTGCAGTTCTTTGACTATGGGTTCAGCCTGGTGAGATCTTCCCTTTCTGTGTTAGCATGTCTATTGGGGTTATACTTCTTCATGTCTTGTGTAGGCAGCCATATTGTTGAGGCACCATGGGTGAAATTTCCCAGTCATTTCTAGAAGGTCAATCTCACAGCAGATACTGGTTCTCTGGCATTTAGAATCTTCCTGCCCCCATTCCCCATTCCTTCCATGATGTTCCCTGAGACATAGGTTCAGGAACTGTGTTTTAGATGTATCAATTGGGGCTGGACTTCTCATGATCATTTGCTCTCTGTATTTTAATAAATTTTATATATTAAGCACTTTGTCATTCATGGTAAGTTATGTTGGATTTCGTCTATCTATAATTTACATCAAAAGTAGTATATTTTCAAGAATATAGTATTTTGCCTTATAATTCCATGTTGAATTGATTTAACTAACCCTTAATTTATTGTGTCCTAAATGTACTCAGATACATTTAAATATTTTAATGAACAAAATGACCAATGATTTTTCTCATCTTATATCAGTGAAGTTTTTTTTTCTAAAATAAATTAAATGAAACTTAATTTGTTAATAGATCTACTGATCATTCTGAAATTTCTTCCACTGGTTTCCTCTTTTCCAATCTAATGTTATTACTAGCACTTTAACCAAGCAGTTTCTATTCCCATATATGTGGAAGTGAGAAAGACAAAATTTGTAATTTGTATTTGAGCATCTTTTCTTTTGAGTTGCAGCCATTATTATTGGATTCCTTCTGGGATTCATTTAACTCTTTTTGAAAATAATGCTTATCTCCCTGGGATTCTGTGAAAATTCATTTAAGACATGCATCACAAATCATTTTGTGCACTGAAAGTTACAGCATAACATTAAGATTGAAGGTGCCTTAATTAGTGTTTGAAGAAATCTAAAATTTCTAGAAAGCTATTTTCTTAGCTTTATTTTATTGCTATGGCCTAAAGCAATTGCTTGTACTTTAATTGTAAATATCAAACACAAATTTTTAAAATGAGAAATTTCTAACTGATATTTCAGATTATATTTAATATCAATAAAATTTGCTACACATTTATGGAAATTGATACATTATTTTTCTTTTGATGACTTGGCATAACTATACTTCACTGGAATTATATGTTTTTTAAAAAGCATTATAATAAAATTCTTATTTCTAAATCCTTAGTCTCAATTAAACCAGTACCAAAAAGACGTTTCCAAAAGAGAAGGAAGTTGCAGTGACTTCCAATTCAAACTTCATGAACTGACAAGCTTGCTGGAAGAAAAGGATTCTCTTATAAAGCGTCAATCAGAGGTAAGAAGAAGAGGAATATACATGGTGGAGAAGAATGGTACAATAGGTTCTTTAGAATAAATACTTTCCATGCATTAAGAAAGAAGATATTAAACTGCAGGGATGGTTCTGTTGTGAAAGGCTAGACACTTAAAACGTCAAGGAAATGACACCTTACCAGGACATACTTTATTACACATGAGAGAACGTATGTGAATAGTAAGATTTCCACTTGAGAAATAATTCAACTGAAAGCAAAAACTGAAGTTAAAGGAAAAAGACTGGTGTTATACTTTTGCTATTTCTAAGATATTTAATTTATATTTCATTAGCAGTGAAATTCCCCAAAGCCCGTGATCTCATTCTTAGGTCAGGAACTAATCTTTCATTAAGGTACTATATTATATCAGCAGCTAGTAGCCCAAAATCTGTCATACAATAAATACTAAAGGAACTATTAAAAACAATGGGCTAATATTTTATTACTGTTATTTAAAAACGGCACTTGCAGTTTTCTGTTTGGAATCTGCATCTACTTCCTTATTGAAATTTTATCATCATCATCATCATCGTCAAATTAGCCTAACTTTAAACTGTTCAGAACAAAAACAATCACATTCTCATACTGACAGAAGCATGTCCAATCAATTGTTGATATCCTACCTCTGTTAGTGGGGTTCTCAAAAGGCATGTATAGAATTTTGGCTACTGTGGATTAAGATTAGTAAGATTAGAACATTTTATATAAAAACAAAGCGGGAGAAGTGGTGGGGGTTATTTTTAGTAATCATATTAGTTCATGTTTATATTTCTATTTAAATAATCATTGTGTTTTCTCTGTAAGGAACTCTCAAAGTTGAGGCAGGAAATATATTCATCCCATAACCAACCCTCCAGTGTTGGAAGGACAACAATCACCACAAAAAAGTAATGTACTTTAAAATGGCATTTGAATATGTGAAGTTATTATAAAATTTAAGTTGTTATTCTCTTAGTTGATGTGTAGATCACTATAAAGAGGTTATTTTTTATTCATAAGCAGTTATACTGAAGAATGAATGTTCAGAAAAGGCATTACTACCATAGTTAGGATAATTGTGTATTGTAGCATAATTAATAAATACACAGAGACAGAAATTGGGGTTCAACCTGAAGGTCAGAAAAGCAAAACAGTCAGCCACTGTATTACCTCTACCTCAGTCCAAAAATGGTGATCTGCCTCCCGGAATTTCAGAATGAGACTGTGTGTGAGAGCTGTCTCCTCCTGTTTTATATTCCACTCTAGGACTGGGATTAAAGGCGTGCACCCCTGCTGCTTGGTTTCTATGCCAAACTAGTGTGACTCCTGGGATTGAAGGTGTGTGTCACCACTGCCTGGTCTGTAAGGCTAAAGTGCAGCTGTTTTACTCTCTGAACTTCAGGCAAACTTTATTTATTAGAATATAAATGAAATATCACTACAGTGTATCATTTATAAAATGTTAAGTACTAGAGAAGTAAAAATAAATAATTGGTTATTATGTATGACTATATGTATATGACATTATATATATCATGGTGCATGTATATACACATATATATGAAATCCATATATTCTTTAAATAGATTTCTATTAAATTCCTTTCCCCCTTTCAGTTGGCTAGTTTTTATTAATATTAACTTTATTCCACTGATCTCTCTGTATTTATGTCACTGTCACACTATTATTCCTATAGGTTTCAGTAAGTTTAAAGCAGGAGTACTACTCTTCAAATCATTCTTGCCTACATTATTTTTCTTACTAGTGGACTCTTACTTTTCTATATGAATGTTAGGGTATGTTTGTAGAATTATATAAAATACAACGTATTTGTACCTTGTTAATTCTCATTACATTTCATATATTTATATGAAATATAAAGAACTATATATATAATAGTTCTTATCAACATCTTAAAAATAGTAACGATTCTAATCCACGTGTATGGGAACTTTTAGAGTTAAACTTTATCTTTACTTCAGTCTTTCCTGTCCAAATTCTTTATTCTTTGGGTTGGAGTATGTGCAGATCTTGTGCATATTGTCGCCTTCATTGTGACTTCATATGTGTACCTGCCCTGTTGTTTCTGGAAAATACTTTTTTCTTGCTGTTATTGACCACCTCTGATTCCAAAGTCGATTCTTTTTTGTCTTTTTTTCTAAATATATATTTTATTTGTTTTACAATCCTATCACTGTTTCCTCTCCTTCCTTTCATCCCTAATCCCTCCCCTAATTTCCTCTCTGCTCCCCATCTGCCCCTTCCCAGCTCATCCTCTGTCTCTCTTCAGAGAGGAAGGCTCCCATTGTTATCAATCAAATATGGCCTACCAAATTCCTGAGGCAACCCAGTATGAGTATGAGGGTCCAAAAGGCTGACAAAAGAGTCAAAGATCGCCCCTGCTCCCACTGTTAGGAACCCCACAAGAAGACCAAACTACAAAATTGTAATATATAGTTAGAGGGTCTAATTAACTTCCATGGAGGTACCCTGTTTGCTGGTTCAGTCTCAGTGAGCTCCTATGAGCCCAGGTAGCCGAATGTGTGGGTTTTCTTGTGGTGTCCTTGACCCCTCTGGCTCCTACAGTCCTTCCTTCCTATCTTCAGCAGGATCCCCCCCCCAAGTTCTGTCTAATGTTTGACTGTGGCTCTCTGCATCTGTTTCTGTGAGTTGCTACATGAAGCATCTCTAATGATGATTGGGCTAGGCACTAATCTGAGTATAGCAGAATATCATTAAGAATCATTTCATTGCTTTTTTCCAGTTGTTTTTTGTTTTATCCTAGGCCTCTGGGTTATATAGCATCTTGTTTCTGTCCCACCAGGTCGTGTCATGGGTGGGATTTCTTTTGTGGATCTAAGCTGGACCAGCCATTGGTTGGCCACTCCCATAATTTTTGAGCCACCTATACCCCAACACATCTTGTAAGCAGGACAATTTGTAGATTGAAATTTATGTGGCTGGGTTGGTGTTCCAATCCTTTCACTGGAAGTCTTGCCTGGTTACAGGAGATGGCCAGTTCAGGGTCCATATTCCCCACTACTAGGAGTCTAGAAGGTATCAAAAGATGGAAAGATCTCCCATGCTCACAGATTAGTAGGATTAGCATAGTAAAAAATGATGATCTTACCAAAAGCAAGATTGATTCAATGCAATCCCCATAAGAATTCTAGCATAATTCTTTACAGACATTGAAAGAAAAATACTCACTTTATATAGAAAAACAGCAAACCAAGATAGATAAAGCAGTCCTGTTTAATAAAAGAACTTTTGTAGTTATCACCATCCCTGATTTCAAGCTCCACTACAGAGCTATAGCAATAAAAGTTGCACGGTGTTGGCATAAAAGCAGACAGGTGGATCAATGGAATTGGATGAAAGTTTCAGATGTAAATTCATACACCTATGTACATCTGATGTTTGATAAAGAAACCTAAGTAAAATAATGGAGGAAAGAAAGTATCTTCAATAAATAGAGCTGATCTAAGTGGATGTCAGCGTATAAAAGAAGGCAAATAAATCCATATCTATCACTCCGCACAAAATTCAAGTCCAAATGGATCAAAGGCCTCAACATAAAACCAGATACACTGAATCTGACAAAAGAGAAGGTGGGGAATAGCCCTGAACACGTTGGCACAAGATACAACTTTATGAACAGAACACCAATAATGCAGGCACTAAGATTGATAATTAATAACAGGGACCTCATGAAACTGAAAAACTTCTATAAGGAAGGACACCATCCATAGGACAAAATGGCAGTTTTAGACTGGGAAAAGATTGCCTTCAAGACCACATAGAGGGTTGATATCCAAAATATATAAAGAACTCAAGAAACTAGACATCATCAAACCAAATAATCCAATTAAAAATGGGATATAGTTCTAAACAGAGAATTCTTAACAGAGGAATCTCAAATGGCTGAGAAACAAGAGATGCTCAACATTCTTAGCCATCAGGGAAATGCAAATCAAAACAACTCTGAGATTCCATCTTACACCTGTTAGAATGGCTAAGATTAAAAACACAAGAAACAGCTCATACTTGTGAGCAACTGAAGCAGGGGGGACACCCCTCCACTGCTGGTGGGAGTGAAAACAAGTAGAGTCACTTTGGAAATCAGTATGTGATTTCTCTGAAAATTGAGAATCGATCTACCTCAAGACCCAGCTATAAAACTCCTGGGCATATGGCTAAACGACACTCCATTCTACCACAAGGACATTTGCTCAATTATGTACATAGCACCATTATTTGTAATAGCAAAACCTGGAAACAACCTAGATGTCCCTCCACCAAAGAATGGATAAAGAAGTTGTAGTACATTTACACAATGGAGTGTTACTCAGCATTAAAAACAATGATGTCATGAAATTTGAAGGCAAATGAATGGTCCTAGAAAAAAATCATCCTAAGTGAGGTAACCCAGGCCCAGAAACGGAACCATGATATGTACTCACTTATGAGTGGAAATTAGCTGTAAAGGATAATCACATTGCAATCCACAGATCCAGAGAGACTCAACCACAGGGTTGCTCAAGGGCAGACATGTGGATCTCCATGGGAAGGTGAAATACAAGAGATCTTATGGGTGGACTGGAGGTAGGTGGGTATGTGATCGTGAAGAATCAGATGGAGGGAGAGAGTACTGAGAGAGACAACAGAAATTGGGGGATATCTTGAGGATGAGCTAGAAACCTAGCACAATGGAAATTCCCAGAAAGCTATGAGGTTGACCCTAGCTAAGCGAGCAATTCTTTTCATTTTAAGAGATGCTCTTACTATGCAGCCCTGGTGTTGTAGTTACTTTTCTGTTGCTGTGAAGAGACACCATGACCAAAGCAAAATATATTTATTTTTTTCAAAGTTTATTAAATTATGAAAGTTTCTATTTCTGCTCCTCCTCCCAACACCCTCCCACTCCCCCCCTCCCCCTCCTCCTCCCTCTCCATCCCTGAGAGGAGTCAGGGCTTCCAGCCCTGTGGGAAGTTCAAGTTCCTCCCCCCTCCCTCCAGGTCCAGGGATGTGAGTATCCAAACAGACTGGATCCCAAAAAATCCAGTATATGCAGAGGAAACAAGTCCCAGTGTCATTGTCAATGACTTTTCAGAAAGGCTCCAGGCCAGCCACATTCAGAGAATCCGGCCACATTCAGAAAATCTGGTTGGATCACATGCTCGTTCAGTCCCAGTCCAACTGGCCTTGGTGAACTCTCATTAGATCAGTCCCCTTATATCAGTGGGTGATCGCACCCCTCGCGGTCCTGAGTTTTGTTTTTTTTTTTTTTCATGTTCTTCCTCCTTCTGCTCCTCATTTGGACCATGGGGGGCTCAGTCCGGTGCTCCAATGTGGGTTTCCGTCTGTATCGCCATCCATCGTTGGATGAAGGATCTATGATGATAAGCAAAATCTTCATCAGTATGGTTATAGGCCAAGGCCGGTTCAGGCACCCTCTCCTCTGTCCAGAGAACAATCTGGAGATCTCTCCATGGACCTGGGATCCCATTTATAATCAAGTCTCTTGTAAACCCTAAAATGACTCCCATAGTTGAGATATATTCTTCTCTGATCCCATATCCATCCTTCCTCCCTCCCTCCATCTCAGTCCACCGAGTTTTCCCCATTCCTCCCATACTCCATTCTCTCTAACCCTCTCCCCTTCCAACAACCCTCCCACCCACCCCACCCCCATACACCCGAGGTTACCTGGGACTCATGTCTATTTCCAATCTCCAGGAAGATAAGTACATGATTTTCTTCAGGTTCACCTTCTTATTTAGCTTCTCTAGGATCTCGAATAATAGGCTCAAAGACCTTTAATTATGGCTAGAATCCACTTATGAGTGAATACATACCATATTCCTCTTTTTGGGTCTGGCTTACCTCACTCAGTAAAGCGTTTTCT